ATTCTTAATACTCGGCTTGGGTTTGGAAACTGAATCCAGAGTTCCTATGTTTTTTGAGATTTCGAGCAAAACTTGTATCCACCTGACTGCTGCCACCACACCCCAAATATAATAGATATGGTTAGGATATGATATTTGGCATATGATATCACACGCTTCGTTCTTATCGGAGAACAGCAACAACAAAGGCGCAACAACAACAGCAACAACATAAGCATTTGCTGCGCTTTATTTATTCTTTATTTATGTGCCTTAGACCAATCAAGCAAAACGGTTTATCATTGAAGCGATAAAAAAGACGTTAATTTATTGAACACACATACAGGGAAAAGCACTGGCATGTGTACATATACATACATACATACATATACAAACCGGCCGGAGCAAGAAGAAAATAATAATAATAACAATAAATGTTTACTAATTGCGCAAAATTGAACTTGAAAATGTGAAATGAGTGAATACACAAGCCAACAAACTTGTGTAGTGAGTGTGGAGTTCTTTGTTTGTTGGTTGATCTCTTTAGTTCAGTAAGGCGTTATTTGCTCGCTTATGGCTCAAATACAGTCAAACTTTAATTAAGCAAAATTAATACCATAAATGTTATGAAGCTTAAGTTGCAATATTTTGGTTTTTCTTTTCGTTTGTAAAAAATTAATTTGACTTGAATTTTAAAATCACTTAAGGTTGCCATTATTTATTAAAGAGTGATTTTCCGCTAGAAAAAAGTTCAAGTGACTACTGAATTCCGCTCGAGTTAACAGGGAAACTCGTCTCATTTTGGTTGGATTAACAGCAGAAGTTGGCCCGTAAAATGAACAAAGAGCGCAATTATAAACTCTATGTTTTAGTTATTTAATTAGCGAACCAGGCTGAGAGGCTGCGGTTATAGAACGACGTCTCTCGTATCTAGAGTGGAAAATTAATGGCTACAAAATTAAATTTATATTTGCAAAAAAAGAGAGGAAGAGAGGCAAAAACAAAAACAACGACAACAAAAACAAAAACGGACTTGGGCTGCCAGACAGCCTGGCAATTTTGTTTCTTATTGGATTTTTATTCGAGCCAGCGCGTGTTTGTGTGCAAGTGTGCGAAATTTATGTTGCTATTTGCGTCGCGGTGACTGCGCTGCCCACTGCGCTGCCTCTTATCATGGTTGTTGTTGTTGCGGTTCTGGTTGTTGTTCTTGTTTCTAGTTGGCTGCTGGCACGTTACCTAATTAGTTGCCGCAGACAGCGCGACGATTTTACCTTTAACGCTATATAGACAAACACACATTTTACCTACGGTTTTGTGTGTGCGGTTGCTTTGACGTAACACATTACGACGGCCGAGGGCAGCGGCGCCGACGTCGACTTCACGCGATTTCCGTTCTCTGCCCACGCACATTGCACACTTCACCACAGCGACAGAAGCAGCGCAGTGGCAGCGCAGCGACAGAGGCAGTGACAGAAACAGAGAAAACTTAGCAGAAAGATACAAATACAAAGACCACAAATAAACACGCGACAAAGCGCAGCTTCAACGTTTTGTCTTCCTCTTGCTTCTGCATTTGGCTTTGTCTTGCTAACGGTTACAGTGGAGCGAATTAGTAACCAAACCACTAAATTTTAGCATACATAAAAATTTTAAAGTTTGATAATCAATTTTAAAAGAAATCAAAGTCTTTTCTGAAATATCATTCCAATTGAAATTTGCACAAAAATAAATACTTCCGTTCCACAGTGCCGTGGGTTTGGCAGCATCGCATCGCCTGAGTTGCAGCTGCTCGGCGACCCCGCCTCACCCCACCCCACCCACTTCTTGCCACACCGCCACCTCCAACCCCCACCCCCATTTTTCACCTCAATTTTCCGACCGCCCACTGCTACAGCATTGGTTGTTTTTGCTTTTTGACTCTGTTTTTTCTTCGGTGGCTATTTTTTATACACACGCCAACGACAGCGGGAAGAAAAACACTTGAACAAATGCAACAGTCAGCTTATTCACCATAATATTGTGTATGGTATATTTTTATTCGTTTGGCAAAGGTAATAAACAAGAGAAATAGAAAAAACCAAACACAAAATACAAGACAGACAAACAATTTGGGCGAACCGAAACGCTTTCGTAGAGAAAAACAAAAACCCATGACAAAAAGCTGTGGGCGACAACAACAAGTCGGGTGAATAAGCCAATACAAAATTACCAATTTAAATGTTTAAATTCGAATCGACGGCTGAACCAAAAGCCACTAAAAACTAAGTCAAATAAAATGCAGCAACGGCATTTAGTGAAGTAAAATGCTAATAAAGAAGTAGGTGTGTATGTATACCCCAAATGCACAGATACGATAATTATATAAACAACGAAAACTGATTGTCGATGTCGTTCTTAATGATCATCGGAAGATACACACGTTGATCATGACTATATGGGGATACGAATGTACATATGTATGTATCTGCGTGTAGCATAAACATATGTGTGGCTGGGCCCGGTACCATTGTATATACATATCAATGGGTGTATTATCATATCATCATCGCCAGCGGACAGGCGACAACGTCGACATTTTGTCGTTTTTATAAGAAGACAATACCCGGGGCCGAGCGTTATCTAATAAATTGTGAGGGAGTTGACAACGAACGACCGACAAAAAAATCTGAAAAACCGAAAAAACCGAAAAACGGACTGAACACTGAAAAATTAAACACAAAAACAAGCAGCGAAATCTGCATTAGGTCGTAAATTTTGTCGTTGTCTGTAGCTGTCCAAAAATGAGTTCAGAGTGAAAGCCTCGAGAAGATGACTTTAGGCGGCGTGGGTTTTTCCCTCGATTCCCCCGGCTTTAATCTTTTTCGGTGTAAGCAGAACCCGGGCTTATCAATATGCGCATTAGCCGATGATTATGCATGCAAATCAATTCAAAATGGTGGCACATTCGGTGGGCAGAGGAAATTAGCGCTCTCTGCTGATTGGTGTGTGAAAATTGAGCCACAAGATCGGAAGATAGCCCCCAGATAATGATTTAATGGCCCGCATCATGCTTAGGATGTTCGGCCTTCATCAAAGTGCTGATCGATAGGTGCGAAATCGGTCGTATTGTTCGGACGATGATCGATAGCCCTAAGCCCTCTTGATTCCGCAAATTTGGGAGCTTATGGTGGGTTAAGTCTATCAAAATTGGCCAATGACCGAATTTCCATTTGGTAATCCATTGCTTATTTGGAATTCTATGTTGAAACATTTATGGGCTTATAGTATAAAGTATAGTAAAGTATTATTGGTAAAGTATTTGATTTCCCATTACTATACGTACTCAACTTCTTCTCCAGGCTTAAATTTGCTCAGTTAAATTGACCAATTTCCTGCTTCACTTTTATGAATCCAAAGGTAAACCCTTTGATTAGTCCAACGCTCTTCCAGATTAAACGAACCCCTTTCTCTGGAGCAAGTACTTGCCCAGCCAAATATTTACCCCGAACGATCTGAACAAATATCAACAGCTATAAACATTTTCCTCTGTAGATACCGCGATCGAAGACAGTGCAAACCTATTGATTAGATAATTGCAGAAGGCTGTTAAAAACACTAAATGTGGAGCGGGAAACGTGCGACAGTCTTGAGATACAGATAGCCAGATACGACGAATTGGGGCCGAGCCTTCGACTGAAACTAATCAAAGCCTCCTCACTTCGGACACTTGAGGTTTTCCCTGGCCAACGAGTGGCTGACTATATATAGACAAGGCGAGTGCAGCCAAAGACTGCATGGAGCTGTGAGAAATGTGGAGAAAACTCTTTGAAGAAAATCTCGAGACCAAAGTAAGCGGTCGCTCCTGCTCTTTTTTTTTATTTGATTTCATTACGCTTCGGTTTTTGTTGCCTCCGTTTGCGTGTTACTAAATTTGGTTGTCTGGGCATTTTAACGCGTCTGTGTTTGTGCCAGACCATTTTTAGTAGCTTGTCTATACATATATGTACCATGCTATATGGCATTGTATGCCAAGTCTGCTCAGCTGCGGTAATTGCCGAGTATTTTCTTTAATTCGTTGCCAGCTGCCCTTTTTTGTGGGTGTCTCTCTGTCTCTATTGGTGCCTGGTGGGAAAGTGCTCCAGTGGTCCGGCATTATGTTTGCACTGCTATCCGGGTATCAGGGTATCCGGGGCACCGAAAAGGTGATAGCAGGACAGCAAACTGCGCAGCATCCCACCATTGAAAAGGTTCTTTATCTCTGCGCCGTACTGTCACCGAATTCGGCGAGCTTTGGACCCATCAGCATCCATCGCAGCCATCGCATCCACCCAAACGCCCTCCGCATTCACATTTATTCGAAATAAAAGCTGCACACGCTGCACAATTCTGGAGCAAGATGAAGACATTACGTTTGATTTTCTGAGTTCTGAATGCCTCCGGGGGCCTCGTAGTCAGTCGTCGTCGCCACCGCGATGATGATGGTCACGATAATGATGGTGATGATGATGATGACGTTTCGCTGTTTTTGCAACCAGCAAGCAAAGCGCTCGGTTTTGTTTTGTTTGCATTATAAAATCGTTGGCTCTGCGCGTTTTTTCGCACAAAACATCCGGTCGTATTTTAATTTAATGAGTATAAATTCTCTGCTCGGCCAGAGACACTGGCACTTTCTGCACAATTATTATTTATATTTATAAAGCGTGCAAAAGTATACACTTTTGCGGTTTTATGCTGTGAAACGCAGCAAACTCGACGTGTTATGAATGGTTTCCTTATTTTTTTGCAGTCATTTAAGTGCTGCTTCAGAGCTTTTATGCTATAGGTTGTTTTTAAAAGGCTTGATTCAAATGTGGGTTATTTGTTGTTTCTTTTGTACAAGAATGAAAAAAGGTATAAATATAAAATAATTTATGTTTTATTCGTGTTCCAAAGTCAACCTTTTATTTTGTATATTTTTAGAGAAAACTATTACTCTAGTTCGTAAAAAAAAAAACCCTAACTGAAATCTGATAGTTTGCGGTCTCCCATTTTTAATATTGCAGGCATCATGCTAGAGTTCGCAGAGTGCCTGGCTGGCGGTCGAAGCTTTCCAACACTGGCGGGCGCCGAGTGACATTCGCAGGAAATAACGGCGCTTTCTTAATGCCGCTTGGAAATCAACGAATTTAACAAAAGCCGCAAAATGCACGTTTTGGCCATAAAAGGCCCACAATCGAGGGAGTCGAACGATGATAGCGCCCTGCTCGTTTGCGATCATCGAATATGCAACATGAAAACAAGTAGGAGCAACTGCAACGAACTAACGAGCTATGGCAATGGCAAATTTTTAATGTCATGGCGACGACGCCGGCGACGCAACAACAATGCAACAGCAGCAGCACGTCGCAATAATGATAATTGCAATTATACTACAACCAATGATTTCAATAAAGTCAATAAATTGCTGCTAATTACGTACATGCTGCTGATAACAGCGGCCACAATTTGTCAAAGCGCCGCCCAGTCGCCGTCGTCTTCATCGACATCAAACGGAGGAGGAGGAGGCGCTGGAGGATCCAATGGGGGATCCCCCTTGAGCGCCTTCCTCAAGTCCGGTGGCGCCTCCTACAATCAGCAACTGCCGCAGCAGCAACTCTTTGCCATGCTTACCCGAAACGGAGGGTCCTCGGGATCGGGATCAGGATCGAATGGGAACAGCCGAGGTGGCTACACCAACGCCAGGCAGCACTTTATGGCCCTCAGTGAAGATGACTCGGATGCAGAGGTGGACGAGGAGGACATGGCTGCACTGCATTATCCACTGGCCGCCTCACATCCTCCGGTTCAAGCCTCCTCCATTTCCATCCAATCGGGATCACTGGAGACGAACGGGTTCGTTTCCGATGACGGTGGACAGTACGAGCAGGCCCAAAAGGCTCTCGAGGCAGCTGCCGCCGCAGCCAAAGCCAACAACAAGTACAACATCGACTGCCCCAAGGACTGCAAGTGCCTCAATGTCATCTTCGACTGCGACAAACTGCATCTGGAGCGGGTGCCCGTCTTGCCCAGCTACGTGCAAACTCTGTAAGTATTATTTACACTCAAAATTATCTTATCTTCAATACAACTAAACAATGACTGTGATTAAGAACCATTATCAAGGAATTTGCTTGTTAATTTTTGTGAAAATCTATTTCTTGGTTAATCAAAAGTTTCTTCTTAACTGAATTCCTAATTTTTTTTTTGTGTTAGGTAAATGGTAATGTTGCCATTGAAGCTACTGAAAGCAAAAGCAGAACTTGCATTTTTGATTCCTTTTCTTTGTTTATAAAATGTATAATTATGTAGCGTAAATAATACCGAACAACACAAAATGGGGATAATGGCAGACTTTGAAAAGTTCAGCATTATTTAAATCCACAAAATCCTGGGGGATGAATTGGCAAGCAACCCCCCTCGAATTCGCTGCGAAAATAAATTGCAGAGTGGCACAACCCTCAACATCGACATTTGCCCTCAATTTTTCCTATACTTTTTTGGGGGGTTGCGATTTTATCGTCCCGCTTTTAATCAATTTAATGCATGGCAAAATTATGCAAACGCCGTTCGTTTGTTATCGCTGGCTTTGCATCAACAATTGTGGCATAATTGAGGTGCATTCGTCAAGCCAAGGATTTTAGAAATGCAGTCGATTAATTTATATCTATTCCCCAGGCATCTGGCTAACAACAAACTGAACGACACAACCGTCCTGGAGATACGCAATCTGTTCAATTTGACAAAAGTGTAAGTGCAGTTTGAGTCTTTTGAAAACAACCATTTTATTAAGTTAATATTCTATCGTTTTCAGGTCCTTGAAGCGAAATTTATTGGAGGTGATACCCAAATTTACAGGTCTCAGTGGTCTAAAGCATTTGGTTTTAGCCAACAATCACATCACCAGTATTTCCAGCGAGGCCTTGGCAGCTCTGCCCTTGCTAAGAACACTAGATCTGTCCAGAAATCAGTTGCACACCATCGAGGCTAACTCGTTTCCAAAGCCCAACAGTCTGGTTCATCTGTAAGTTGTAAGAAATTGATGTAACTAAAGCATTAGTTTAACTCAAATTCTTTAATCCACAGAATACTCAGCTTCAATGATATTGAGAATGTAAACGAGCACGCTTTCGCGACTTTGAATAATCTTACCGATCTGGAACTTAATAACAATCGGCTCAGCACTCTTCCCATTTGGGTGTTCAAGAACTTAAGCCGACTGAAGAAGCTGTAAGTTGTAGTAAAATGGTTAGGAAGTTAATTTTTGTACTAATGTGATAACTACTCGTTTCAGAGCTCTGAACTTTAACCAACTGGAGATAAACTGGTCAACTTTTCGTGGCCTGATATCGATGAAAAATCTTCAGCTGAAGTCCAACAAAATCAAGGCGCTGCAGGACGGCGTCTTTCATGTGATGCATAACATCGAAACGATTGATCTTGCCATGAACCAGATCAGTTCGCTTTCCCGACAGGGTCTCTTCAACCTGACCAAGCTGCGGCACCTCAACCTGTCATTCAACGCCATATCGCGCATCGAAGTTGACACCTGGGAGTTCACGCAGTCGTTGGAACTGTTAGATCTTTCGAACAACGCCATTAGCGAGTTTAAGCCCCAACACTTGGACTGTCTGCATCGCCTGAAAACGCTCAATCTGGCTCACAACAAACTGCAATATCTGCAGGAGAATACCTTCGACTGTGTGAAGAATCTGGAGGAGTTGAATTTGCGGCGCAATCGCCTTTCCTGGATAATCGAGGACCAGAGTGCAGCAGCTCCGTTTAAATCTCTGCGCAAGCTGCGACGCTTGGATTTGCACGGCAACAATCTGAAGCAGATCAGCAGCAAGGCGATCACTGGTCTAAACAACCTGGAGATACTCAACCTCGGATCGAATGCTCTGGCCAGCATTCAGCCCTACGCCTTTGACCATATGCTGCGCCTGAACAAGTTGGTGTTCAAATCGCTCAACTTCATCTGCGACTGCGAATTGGTCTGGTTTCAAAAGTGGCTAAAGGAACGCTTCCCTCAGCAGGCCGAACATGCTGTTTGCGGCTATCCGGAGCATCTACTCGATCGCCATCTTAAATCCCTGGGCGCTTCGGAGCTGGTGTGCGGTACGATTTTATTTATAAATAATGAAATGTTTAAAATCGCTTAATTAACGTTTCTTTTTCTTTAGGAGACTCCCCTAAACCGAAACTGGAACAGGAACCAGACAACATGCTCGCCGTAAATGGAGCCAACATCACGCTAGAGTGCATCGCCAGTTCTCCCACAGCTGCTTCTCTCGCCGCCGCCGATGAACTGAAGATCAAGTGGCGCCACGACAACCAGCACGTCCAAGAGCTTCCGGGCGCACTGCACGATGGTTCCAGCACGGAGACGCAGATCCACCACGAGCTGAACACCAATCAGACTTCCATCTACGGTTATCTGAAGCTCACGAATGTTACCTATGAAAGCGCGGGTCGCTATCAGTGCGTGGTATCGAATGCCTTTGGAACAACATATGCGCAGAAGTTCAAGATATCCATAGGAAGTAAGACAACCTACGAATCTAGCTTGAATTTTTATTAATTATATATATTTTTGCGTCCAGTTCATCCCACCTTTCAGCAAGTGCCATCCAATCTCACTGTGGATGCAGGTGAAACGGCTCGATTGGTTTGCTCGGCCAGCGGTGATCCCACGCCGGAAATAGCTTTACAGAAGTTCGGGGGTAGTGAATTTCCGGCAGCCACCGAGCGCCGACTACAGGTGATCCGCGAGGAGAACGCCTTCCTGATTACCAACGCCAAGCCAAGCGATTCTGGCATCTACACATGCACAGCGTTGAGCGCCGCGGGAGAAATAAAGGTCAATGCCACGCTGGTGGTGAACGGTGAGTTCTGGCTAACTTGTTGCTTGGAGTTTTACTTAAAGTTATTCCTTTCAATGCAGACAAACCACAGCCCAGCATTCCCTTGGTGCACCAGGAAGTGGTTGTTGGACGAGCATGTGTGTTGCAGTGCCTTAGTGAAACGGCTAATGCCGACTTTGAGCTGGAGCATCCGCATCGCGAGTGGTTCAAGGAGAACAAGCCTATACACATTTCACCAACGGCGCCAGACGGGGATCGCTACTATTTCTCGAACAACAAGGAGCTGCTGGTTATCCTGAATGCCCAGTCCAACGATGCCGGGCATTTCCGCTGCGAGATAACGGACAACTCGCGGACCTTTACGCTGCAATCGGATCTAGTCGTGGTTAAGGAGAATCTCAACTGGGATGTCCTGCTGGTCGGCATAATTCTTCTGACAGTTGTTTGTGTGATGGTGGACTGCTGCATCATTTGGTGCACGCTGCGCTATCAGAAGAGGAAGCTGCGAATGAGCCTCGCGGCCGAAAGGTTGGCTGCTCGCACTCAAGCCAGTCTGCATTCCACGCTGGACAAGGACCAGACGCAGCTGACCACGCTGAATCGCACGCAGTTGAGGCCGCATCAGTCTCAGCTTGTCCTGGATGGGAGTGCAACTCAACAACAGCAGAAAGGACAGTTAAGGCCACGTAGCTTGGCAGATCTAGGCTGTAGTAATGGCGAGGCGACACACAGTCGCCTGATTGTGACCACAACTCCCTCCTACGAGCAGCGCTGCCTGGAGCAGGGCTTGACACTGAGCTATCTGCAGCAGACGGATCTGGAGGCCCAGCAGGATCATCTGTCCAGCAAGGACTCGGGCACCGGCTCCGATGCGGCCGTGAAGCGCAGCCTGGAGGACTTTGTGGTGGCCATGCCAAGGCATAAGCATCACACGGACGACGAGGAGGAGGATGAAGACAACGACCTGCAGTACGCGCCCACAAGAGCGCTGGGCGTCTCCGAGTACGACGACATGGAGCTGTATGAGCTGAATTGCGCTGCAGCCGAGCAGCAGCACTTTCTGCAGAACAACAATCACAACTACGACGGTGGCGGGGGTGGCGGCGATGTTGGTGGTGCGACTGGAACGGCACCGAAAGTGATGCCACGCAAATGCAGCGCCGGTGCCAGCGGCAGCAACTATAACTCCATCCAAAAGTGCACGACAGTGGACATTTGAAGCGGAAGCTACACCAAATGAGCAGAGGATGATCAGGATCATATACCAAAAAAAAAAACCGGCGGTTGCCCCGTAGCCCCAACCGCAACCCGCCCCCAAAACGAACAAAGACTGTTTAACTCTTAATTATAATTTGTAGACGGCGGCCCAGACTCTTTTGGCTGGTCACGACCGCAGAGCAGGCGGCCTTATCGCGATGCCTTTGCTAAGGGAAGTAGAACGGCTAGAGAAACATACCAGTGTCTTCGTAATTTATGAAATGAATCGTTAGAATTGATTTTTATAACTTCTAATACCTAATACTTGATAATCCGTGTAGTATATTTATAATTTTCTTTCGCTTGTGATATTATTTATTATTTTGATTGCCCGAGTTTTAGGAGTAACATATTCACCTCTGTATATATCACTTAGTATTTAATTGTAGTTCGTACCTAGGTTGGTAAGACGAAAAACACTCGATGATCAAATGGTTGCCAGGAAATCGGCTATGACAACTCCAAATGAGTGGGAGTGTACATTTCATGGATATTTTGCAGTTATTCTTTTGCGTTTAAAAATATTGAGTTTGAATTTGAAATTAATTTGCCTTATTATTGGCTTTGACAAAATATAAACGAAACCATATGAAAATATTTAATAAAATGATGCATTATTCCAGCAAATATACTTGATTTGATAAGTTTTATTAAAAATTCTTGTGGAATTGACGTATGAAAACTGCGAACCTAGTTTTCTGGTTTAAAAGAAATCGGAACAAGAAAGAAAGCTAAAATGTCGAACAAAATACATAAAGGCTTAACTATCCCTCGACATAATCAGTCAGCCAAGCCGACAAATTTTGGGCCAAACGGATTTTGACATACCAGGCGAACAAAATGCCACCGACTTATTTTCAGATTTCTTACTTGTTCCCAAAAGTATGCCACACTTTTTTACGCAAAATTTACATAGCCAAAAAACGCCAACTAATGCATTCTGTGTTGACCTGTTACTTTAAATCTAAGTGTTACAAATTATCTCGTTGACTTAAATTAAAATACCCTTTACCCTCTGGGTATATATTAATCTCCACTTAACCGCCCATCAGAAAATAATTCTAGAATTTGTGATTTGACTTGTTTTTAATAGGTGTTTACTTGTGAAATGCGTCAGGTAAATGTTTGGTCAATTGGAGTCCTCTGAGCTGTCGCTGTAGGCAGCTAAAAGTGAAAGCCCAGCTGGTGCTGTAGCTGGTGGATTTGGAGCTTTGGTTGCCGCCGAAACAGAAGGTGCTGTGGCGGAGGTGGTTGCCGGTTCGTTGGTGGTCGCTGCCGTGGTTGCCTTGGGTTTGACCAGTACCAAGGGTGTTTTCCTTTTAACCAAGGACTGCGACGTAGTTAATTTGCTAGATGAAGAGGCGGAAACACTCAGCGTGCTGGGCTTGGACTGTTTAGCTGGTGGCGGAGCCGGTAGCAGGTCCACCGGCTCTTCCTTAACCTCCTCAATGATTTCCTCGGCCACAACACGAGAGCCGCCCTCCGATTTGTTCTTGAAGTTCACAGATCTAAAAGAAAATAACATGTTTAATACAAAAGCGTACCAGGGAAACCCTGAAAAACCTACTTAATGAAGTCCTCATCCTCACGTTCCTCCCGCTCCAGACGTTCTCTCTCCGTCTCCACAGTGTTGTACTGCTGTAGCAGGGTGGTGTAGTCGACTGTTTGCTGGCGTCGATTGAGATCGCGCAGTTCCTCCTAAACTTTCAAGCATTTCGATCTCGTTGCGCGACTGCTGTGTGCGATTTTCGAGTAGTTTCATGGGGTTGTTAGCCTCCTCCTCGCGTAGTTCCTGCTCTTCCCGGCGTGCCTGCTCCTCGGCCAATTTGAGGGCCATGAAATTGCGCGTGGCACCCGCTTCGATCTCGTAGTCCGTGTTCTGCGGATCCGTCTTGAAGGAGATCTCCTGTAGGCAGCGGGTGCACTTGATGTAGAATCGGTAGATTCTGATGCCCAAGTACGTTTCGTTCTCCACATCCTCCTTGCGGGCGTTGAACTTCTTGCCTTTGTAAATATACTCGCCGCAAGTTTTGCAGCGCATATTAAAGGGAGCCATCAATCTCACAGTGTACTGGCGGTTCTTGGCCAATTTCATGCGCGGAATCTTCGACGGATCGAAGTCCGGGGGGTAGTATTTCTGCAAAAAATGCGATATATGCAGTGGCTAAGGTGCTTAATTGGTTTTAAAGGTTTACTTACGTTAAGAACTTTGCGTTCGGACATTTTGCGGAGTAAATATTAATTTTAACAAAATAAGTTTATTTACTAGAACAGTATTGCAAAAGGGCAACAGACAAAAGTGTTGTACAACTTTCAGATATGGGCATGTAACAATATAGTTGTCTCTTTCTAGCCTGAAAATAGGGCTTGACCTTGCCGCTAAATTTGAATTCAAAATCAAATTGCCTTGAACTAATAATTTCGTTGGGCCTTTCTTACTAATATTAAAATGGGAAAATCAAAAAACCATTTTCTCGTTGACACATGCACTTCTTTATAAATAAAATATATATGTACAAAAAAAGGTTTTTCATATACAATTTTTAGGTAAACATCACTTGCAACGCATTAGATATGTTTTAGACACATATTTTCTTTGGCTATTTGTGCTATTAAGTTTAGCTCGTCCGCAACAAATACAATAAATACACAGCTGCTACATGTTGCTGCTCGTGGAAGGACCATTGTCTTCATCCGGAGGACTACTTCTCCGCAGGCCCGAAAACCTGGCCGGCAGTTGCAGGGTGGGCACACCGTTCTCCAGGTCAGACATCGGATTGGAGTTGACGAGGCCATCCCCACTCCCGACATCCACGTCGGGAAAGCTCACCTTTTTGGGAGCGGAAATGGCAGGAGCGGTCACGGATTTCGGGCGACCCTCCATTTTCAAGGCGGCTCTGGGAATCTTGTGCTTCACCAGCTCATAGGTGCAGGCGTAGAGGAACGTGTACTGCTGCTGCGTTTGGACCATCTTCATGCGCTGAATATTGAAGAGTAGTTGGGGATCAAACCCATAAGGTAATCGGCTAATAACTCACCTGAAAGCGCAGCTTTTTGACCGTCTCGAAAATATTAATTTTCGACTCGCTCTTCAGTCGTTGCATAATCAAATCCAAACCTATAAATGTGCCCGTTCTACCCACTCCCGCACTGCAATGCACAACGATGGGCGAGTAACTGGGTCTTTTTTCCGCCTTCACCTTCTTAACGAGCGTAATCAAGTGCATGGGATCCTCGGGAACTCCGTGATCGGGCCACTTCTTGAAGTAGAAATGGATAACCTTCTCCTTCAGGCCGTACTTGTCATGGACCACTGTCAATTCTGTACGATCGTACAGGTCGAAGACCTCCTTCGACTTGACAGTAACTGTCAATCCTCGCATGGTGTAGGGATAATACTCATGGCACTTGATCTGCGATTGAAGATTGGTTATATTTAAGTTTTAAGAATCTCTTTTAAGTACTCACTGTGTTGCCCTCTCGAAACTGAGTGACTTGAACAATAATCCGGACATTGTACTGCAACACCATGCGCCAAAAGTCCATCACGCTCTCTGGTTTTGGCCCTTGTGTGGCTATGTACTCCTTTTTTCGGGTATGACCCTAAGAATTAGGTAGACTAAATAGGCAAGTCTTTATAAACCCAATCAAAATGCTTACATCTATAAAAGAGGCATTAATGTAGTCCGATCCCTCAGCATCAATGTCCAAAATCACGCGGTTCTTGTCGTCTATTAAATAGAAAATACAAAAACAACTTCTCAAAAACTACGTCTGTTTTATGTCTTTTTCATACTCACAAGGATATATGTCCGCATAGCGATTTTTGTGGCAGCCCAATTCGGAGGCGGAATAACTCAACTCCAAGGCCACCACTGTGATCTCCTTGAACTCCCGTGCCAGCTTCTCCGGCTTGGCCACCTCTGCGTAAAAGATGGCGAAGTTCTTGGCGATCACATTGCCAAAAGGGTCCTCGATGCCCTGGCCGGAGTCACGTTTCCTTCACCCAAAAAGATATTACATAATAAAAACTTTTTCTGGGTACACTGTTCAACTAAAAACCCACCAGGCCAACCGCTTTCGCACCCACAGCACAGCCAATCCGAAGACAAAGGCTAGGAGCAGACAACTGCAAACGCTCACCAGGATCAGGGTCACCTTGATGGCCGCCTTCGTTCTGAAGTTCAGCACAGCAGCATCGCTGTAACCGGAAGCGGTGAAGAGTCGCACCACCACGTAGTAATCCGTGTCCGGGATCAGAGGACCATTGCAATACACCTTCTTGGTCTCGGAGCACTTGTCCACCCCAATGGTGAAAACTATCTCCTGGTCGGAGCTTGTGTTCACGTCCGAGCTCCTTCTGGTCAATTGGACGGGCTCTGGATGCCAATGCTCCTCCGTGGTTTGGTATTGCAGTGAGCAATCCCCTGTGCCATCTGCTCCTGCAGTTTGATAGGAGTAAACCGGAGGCCAATCAGCGCCAACATCGAATTTAAGGGCGGGAAGACCAGCGCAAACTTTCTGCGACAATAGTAGCGCCATATACTTTATGTCTCCCGATTCGGAAGTCATTATGTCCGCCGGAAGGCGAACGACTGCCGTTTTCGTGGGACTCGTTGTCTCGTCGACATTGGCACGCATTTGCTTAATGAGTTCCTCACTCGGAGCAACGGGTACTAAAATATCAACAATAATAATGATGCTTTAAAAACTTTAAGAACTACTCAACTACTTACATCCAGCTGGAGATTGCCAAGATCCTGACACACTTCCACTGAGCTGCTCCACATCGCGATTCTTCACAGCCACCTGAACCGTGTAGTCGTACTGCGGCAGCATTTCCGTTTCCGTGTAGGACATCCGACCCTGTCGGTTCCCCGGGTCCAACTGCACCCTCCGCTGGAATTCCACGGATGAATAATTCTTCCGCTGGCCGGTGAAACCCAGTTGGAAATACTCAATGTCGCCGTTCGACTTGCAGGGCACCTTCCATGTGATGGTCACATTGGCCCCGTACTCGTTGTTGTTGTTCTCCGGACCCTCCGACTTTACGGTCAACTGGGTCACGTTGTCGGACACTGGGAGGTTATTAACAGAAGAAGGTATTAAAAGAGGCACATTTTCAGTGTTGTACAAATTGTACAGTACAATGATGCACACATCTCTTATTTAACTTGCGTGTGCCGTTATTCGTGGCACTCACCTGCTGGCAGCGTGGTTCCAATTACGGGATCGGTGTATTTGCCCATTCCGAAGTCGTTCTGAGCGGCAACCTGCATCATGTAACTCACCGCCGGGGCCAGACCCGTAAAGTTGACGAATACATCGCCCTTGGTCTCCGACTTGGTGTCCTGGACGACCTCGGCACAGTCCTCGGGCACAAAGTAGCTGGCCTCGTGGCGCATCAGGAAGGCCTGGTAGTACTTGATGGGTCCGTTCGAGAAGGCTGGCGGATGCCAGCCAAAGACCAAGCTGCTATCGCTTTTATCACCCGCCACCACTTCTGTCGGCTCTTCGGGAACTGCCATGAAATGGGTTTAGCTTGTTCAGGATAGATCTGCTTTTCATTACTTACAGTAAGTCGAGGTCTGTACACCAGCCAGAGTTTGAGCATTTGATGGGCCAGCCACGTTGTACAGTATCACCTTGCATACGTATGTGGTGTATGGCGAAAGTGGACTGAGACTCGCATTGAAGCCTGGAAATAAAGAGGGATTTTTATTATATAGTGAGTTTTAAATATTGTATTATATGGAATACCATACCGACCTTGCTTGCTATGACCCTCTACATATCGCTCAGCATAAGGATTGCGGACGTCAGTGGTGGCATTGCAACTAAAGAGCGCAAAGATCGTGGGACAAGTGTTATTGTAGTCTGCATTGAAGGCAGTTAGTTCCAGAAACTCGGAGCCAGCTTGCTTTGGTTCCAGTTTAACCTTTTTTAAAGATAAGTTTCAAAGTGATTAATATATAATATAAAATAATATCTCAGACAATATTCAGTTCATACCTTAGTGGAATCCACTATAGCGGCTCTGGTCTCCACTTCGATTTTCCTCAGTTCACCATCGAGTCTTTCCCTGGTGTACGGGATGATCTGGATAATGTAGACCTGACAGGCCAGAAGATTCTTGTCAAATGTTACGGTCGTGTTTTGGGTGGTGACACTGAGGGCCTCCACCTCGACCAGCTTTTCGTCCTCCATCCAACCCGACAGTCGGTAGCCATCGATGCAGAGATCGGCGTACGCAGGCTTGCTCCAACTGACCACCATTGAGTAGGCACTGGGATCCACCTCGGGATCCAGGATCTGGGTGGGCTCTACATGAAGAGCCTTTAGTTAGCAGTTAGGGAAGAGGTAGCCTCAACTTACGATCTTCGCCAACGGTGCACTGTTGCTGGAACTTAGCTCCAGAACTTCCATTCAACTGAGTGGGCACAATCTCCACCACGTAGATGCCACAAGGATCTAGGTCCTCGAAAGTCGCGAACATTTCCTCTGTAACAGTCTCCAAGGTTTTGTTTTCCTCTCGCTGAGTGGGTCCCGTCAACATAACACTGTAGTTGGCCACACACTTGGGATGATTTTGGGGCGCCGACCAAGTCCACAACAGTTTAGTGGAGTCAGCTGTGGGACTGGGTTCATAAACAGCACTGGAAGCTAAAGGATAGGAAAATAATCGGGTTATTGTATGGGTTACTATATGAGTTTTTGTTTGTACCCACTCTTTTCTGCGGATGTGAATTGCTGCGAAGCCTTGGCCGTTTTGTTCTCGTTGATAAATACTTGGAATGTGTGCAGCTCGCATCCTTGAAGATCGGTTAAAAGGTATTCCCTTAGCTTGCCGTCCGAGGAGACATCGGTCCACTCGCACTCAACTGAAAGAGGAAAAGTAACATATCTTTACGATGCTTGACAAATCCATCCTACTTCGCATCTTATAAGGTTTTCCTCCAAAACTTGCCTTCATTGTCCGACTGTTCGGAGGTGGTCGTTTCGATTGTGGAACCAGTAACATAGTCCATATCGTTCGTCGTTTCAGTACTGGGCTCTTCGGTGGTGGTGGTGTCCTCATCTTGATTATTTCCACAATCATCACGACGCCACTTGAACACATAGTTGCTGATGCAGTTCTTCTCATTGGGATCGCCCCAGGTGACGATCGTGATTCCGCTGGACAGATTCGAAACGTTCATGGCGAGGTCTCCAGGCTCCGCGTACAGGGTGTCCACCTCGCTGGTGTCCTGATCCACCACCACACTGGCGTTGTTCTTCGTCTCCAGGGTGACCGTGTAGGCCACGCAGGCCCTTAGGCCCGTGAAGATGCAGACGCTGTTCTCACTCAGCTGCTGGATTTCGTAGGAGTTCTCATCCGATTTCGCCGAGATCAGGAAGGACTCCACGCAGGCGCGGTCGGTGGTTCTCCATCTCACCTCGATGGTGTTCGAAGTGGGCACCACCGAGGTCACAGTGGTCCTTGGCTCTGAGGCGAAAAGGGGAGGATTAAGGTATAACATTATTAAAAATCTCTAACGAACTGCATCAGTAGTAAATTTTGTGTGATAATATAATAAATTAAATTCAAAATAAGGCTGTAAGTTCTCAATTTAAACGGAGCGACAATACATACTTAAAAAAATCGGTTTCTCCAGTTAAAGCAAGTTTTATTAAGAGTTAAAAGTATTTGCCTTTATAAAAGATTATTAGGTAATAATTTTTAAAGACATAAAGTACTTACGTTTATATTCGGTGTAGGCATAAATCGTTTGGTCCGAGGGTTTCGGTTTGGCCAGCACATTTGATCGGAACGAAACCACGCAGGTATAAAAAGTGCAAGCAGTTAGGCTCTCGCTACATAAAATGTTCCAAACTTTAAAGGTTTTGAAAGTTAACTCTAGACTCCTTGTTTACCACACGTTATCCTCGTTGGCCTTCGTCTCCGTTCCGGATCCATTGCGACAAGTGACTGCATCGATGGAATATTCCGTTTCATCAGAAAGGCTAAAGCCAAGGGTGTACGTCGTAGCAACGACATTCACTTCTGGCTCTGGAATGCGCAATTGTAATGATTAATATTCCATCTCTTAGAGTGTGACTTATGTGAAATATATATTTATTGGGAAGGGAATACGTACTATCGGCCAACTCCTGGCTTTCGCCCACTGCAACCGGCGAAGAATCGCTTTGTCCCTGGACCCATGCGATCCAAAATGTGAGGATCAGTGCGATTACCTTTAACGATGGCTTCCAGTGCTTGGTGTCCATCTTAGGGCCTCATTGCTTCAACTGCTGTCACAGTGAGTAATGCGTTATTAATTATTAATAATAAATGATTATCGCCGGGGAGCTAATGCAACCGGTTCCCTCTGGGATTTTCCGCGAAGCATTAACCTCACGCAATTGCAAATCAGTTGGCTCGTACACTTTTAATTCGGTTATAAACAAATAAATAAGAGTTCACTGTACGTGCGCAAACGAAAGGTGATTCGTAAACAATTTGTGGCCGGCGAACTTTCGTAAATCTCGCACTGTGGGAAGCAATTCTGGATCCTCGAGTTGCTGACCAGCGCAACAATTACAAATATAGCAAATGAATTTAAACAAAATCTCGTATATTTTCGAGTCTCCCGCCTGCGAGCGATTTATGGTAATTGCAGAAATTCCACAAGTAATTGGAAAATGTAAACAGTAAACGGGACGAGATACCAATGGGAGTTATCTCAAAGTCGGGGGCTTACACTCAATGTCGAAGTCACGGATTTGAGAACCGAAAGGGAGTGAAGATACTCGCAAAACCAATGACCAATGCCAAAGGCAATTTTTTTTGCAGATCCGGAGAATCTTATCAAGGCACTTCAACGGCTGGAGAAGTGGCCAGCAGATACAGATACTGATAATAAAGTGGCTTGTTGTACAACACCATAATATTTGCAAAATTACCGACTCTATCGTATGGCATTGCCGAATTCAAATGCAATTAATCAAGGCTTGGTTTGAAATCTCATCACGCAGCCGCAAAAAAGTGTACTGGGAATACCAATGTATAGATATAAACTATAGTCGATATGCGAGTGCGTCACGGAGACTCTAATCGAGCAAATACCTCGAAATTGGCAGCACTAATTACTAATTTTAGTTGTCGCCCACGACAGAAGCAGGCGAAGACAGTCAGTTCTTTAAAGCAAATATAATAACACTTTCCGATACTTATTAATGGCACGTTTGTTATCAGAAACTGGGGAATGGAGACAATTTGCCAGGTTCCCCGTGGGCTTGTTTAAACAAATCGCATCGCTATTGAGGCTTCCAAAACACCAAATAAGCCAATAATAACAATTAACGCGCTTACACACGAACAAGCGGCCTTTATCAATGGCTATAATCAGTGTTGGCCAGATAACACGAGCATATGGGTGGGCCATAAATGTCCGAATTTAAACGCCATAAAGGCTGGAAAATCTGCAGCACCAAGGATTAGCTTTCGTTGTTAAATTGATTCATTCGCGATCAACCGATCGAGCGGGTTTTTCAGACAGGAGGTGGAGCAAAGGGGGTTGTGTATTTACAATGCCTACCAAATGGCTGATTAAAACGATCACTGATAACACTCGAGTGCCGAAATTTAGCAAATGATTACATTATTTGGCAATTTGCACAATGAAAGGTTGAGTTATTGCTAAAAACACTGCACTCACAGGTGACAAATGGTTTGATTCGTTTGTTGTTGCTCTTTTTAAAGGGAGCGCGAGTCAAAAAGTCGGCCGAAAAATTAATAACAATAACCGTTTCCGCTGAGCGTTTGTCGAACACTGAGCGCGAAAGGGAAATATATCAAATATTCTGGTGCTCAGTGGGCACTGATAAGAAAAGTTTACTCGCTTAGCAAGTGTGAGAGTAAGATAACAACTTCACATTTGTTACAATTAGTAAACCACAGTGTTGTCGAGCAAATTAAGCAAAATTAAACTTACTTTTTAAGTTCAAAAAACGATTTTTCTAGTAAATATATTATTTTCTTCTTATAATTAAGGATTATTAACTAATTATAGAAAAGTTTTTAATTATGAAATTAATTACTTTCAGGACTTTTAATGCTGGCTAACTTTAGTTAAATTGCGCGCCAATTTTCAGGGCTAAGAAATTAAGCTCATATTAAAGCAAAGTTTTAAGTTCCCAAAGAAACCAGTTTTTTCCTAGCCCTATGATTTTATGTAATTCAAAGTAAGTTTTGTATATGTTAATCCTTTCCCAAAAGCTTTTTAATTTTTTTTAACGGTCAAAATAATAGTCCTATAAAAAACATCGATAGTTAACCATAACCATCGCTGCAATCGATAGTTCCATGGCTTTTTTGCGTCTCCTCGCTGCGGTCACACTAACCGAAGCATTTTCGTCCGCTCGTCATTTTTCTGCGTAATTCTTTTCGATTAATTCGATTTAGCATAAATAAATAAACCCGATTATTAATATATTAAAAAGTTAATTGATGTAAGTATGCGTGGCGCATAATATCAAGAAAAACGTGTCGTCGCGACAAAACGTAAACCCCAGAAAAATGAATTTTTCGCAACTGCGACTAGTGAGCAACTGGGAAGAATAAGAAAAAAATGTCATATGTACCACACTTGCTGTGACATAGTGTTAGTGCGCGCGTTATATACCGATAAAATTGATTGAAAACTATTAAAACCAGGATAATGTGCGTTTTATAAGCGATATTGGCCCTTTTCCCCATTTTGCATATTGCCTTTGGGACACTCTTTCTCTTGGCCCCTCTCTCGATCCAAGATGGCCGTCGTAACAGTATTTTTGTTCGAACTGTTGCTGTTATTGTGTTTGCTTTGTGTTTGTTATTGAAAAGAAAACGCAAAAAACAAGCGAAAGAGTTATGCAAATTGTGCACAAGATAGTGTGTTTAACAAAAAGCGAAAAGTGCGCAAGCAAATTCAGTGGAGAAACAAACAACTATTACATTTTTTACAACCACCAGAAAGCGATGACACATCGTGTGCGTTGGTGTGCGTGTTTCTGTGACTGTCGATGTCTGTGGATTTCGCGCATGTGTTGGAGTCCTCCCCCTAGCCAAAGCAGAATTGATCGATTTTTAGCCAAGTCAAGTCCCCAAACAGCCCGATTCCTTGCATTCATACTTCCCGTTCCGTTCCCTAATACCGAGCGAACCGCCAAGCACCTATTACCTGGCAAGAAATAGCCCAAACCAGTTCTGCCAATGCACAGAAATCTCGTTTTATTTTCTTCGCTAAGCTGTTGTTTTTTTTTTTTACAGTTTTTCCGTTTAAGGTTTTTGCTGTGGCATTCTTTTTGGTATTCCACAAGACCCGTTGCGATTTCCCAGAATGTGTGGAAAGCGCTCCTGACACTGCAAATTGTTTTTATTATCTGGCGAGCTTTTTGCACATTCTCAACAATGGGTTAAAACCGCACCGTTTAACTGTTAGTTTAGTTCCTGTCTTTTAATGCCCGTCGTGGGGTTAAAGCTGGAGTTCAAAGCTTTTGGGCTATTGTTTTTCTTTTCCCTCTCTCTTTGCACTTGAAATTGCAGTTGCAATTGTTCGACGAGTGTATGCGTGTGTGTCTTAATCAATGAAACACGCAAATAAACAAGCAAAGCAAGTGCAAGGTCTGTTTGCCAGAGCGGCCAGAGAAAGAGAATCGCTGGGGCATATAGAGAAAGGGGTATGGGGGAGAGTGCGAATCTCGGTGGCATCCTTATCGTATGTGTGTGGGGTTTGCAGCCCTGGTTTATCCCCCTTGCCAACTGTTTCGCTCTCACGCCCACGCGAGAGCATTTAAAATTCAGATATTAAATTAGCTTCAGCAAGGGCAACAATGAGAATCTGCCTTTATTTCACTGATTTAGTAACATAGGCGAAGCGTGCGACCCAAACGCCCCCTTCTTTTGTTTTTTTCTTTTGTGGCACACACCCACAACTTTACGGTTACAACGCGCATGTCTTTGTGTTGTGGAATGCCTGGTTGCCACAACACAAATACTGTTGACTTCTTTGCTGTTCGAGGGGGTAAAGGGATCCCAACTTAACCCCACCTTGTTCGGCCCACGCTCCACTTTTCCATTAATACCCGTGACGTTAGTGGCGTATTTTATCGATTTTCCTAGGATATTTTTAGATGCGCAGTTAGCGGCAGCCCTAAACTTCCACCTACAATATTCAAATGATGAGCGAAGAGTGTTTCCAAATCACCCTACAGCTGATAAGCCACCAGGTCCAAGTCTCGCTCAGCCGCATGACTCACATCTAAATTGAGTGGCGGTTCCGATTCTGCCTGCGAACTCGTTTGGTCAGTTTTTGTTTTTTGCCATTTTCGCTAGTTCAAAAAATCGTTAAATATCATTTGCCAAAAATAATTTGAAAACGTCATTTCCTAGTCCGTGATGTGCTCAAAAGTTTTTTATACAGTGGGACAAAGGTTTAGCCTAGAAAAGGTTTAAATAAGAAGGGTCTATTTGGCCATTTGTTTGTTGTAACACAGGAATAAATAGTAAGCCTTTTTAAAAAATTATAAGCTATCAAATAAGTTAAGTAATTTGTGATTTGAAAGACACCTCGGTGGCTAGGCTTAACCATTACAAAAATATTATTTATTTTAGAATATTAATAGTGATGTATCTTAAGATGAAAAATAGGTTTCATATTATCTTTTTTATCCTATTATCTTTTCGAGTTTTAAATTGCTATTATTTCCACCTCAAGTGCTTTTGTTTGTTCTGCTTCTTCGCTCACATGGTCTTTCGTAGCCTTATTTACCTATAAGAAGTTGCTTGAACTACCGTTAAGTCCGGCTAATTGGCTTTGCCTTGCCGTCGATTATACTGGTAGTTGGCAACGCGTCACTTGTCCATCGTTATCAAGTACGCCAGATACGCGTTTGCTTTTTGTTTCCGATTGGGGCTTTATTGCGTGCTATACCTGTGATTTGTCCACCTTGAGTTGATTGAATAGGTCTTGCACAGCCCCAAATACATACACGAACTAATTGTTGAAAACCCGCTACTGTGTTGTTTTTGCCTAATTCCATTTGAAAGCTTAGAGTTTGCGATTGCCGAACGACCCTTGAACTTATTGATGACGAGTGCAGTTTGATTGCAGGGTTACCAACTTGTAGTTCGCTGTGAGCTTTAGCGATATTACGATTATTGTTTTGTTGTCCAATTATTCGAGAACTGAAAAATGTGTGCCAGAAACCAAAGACGATGTTAATAATGATGATGCTCCGCTTTGGGATTGGGAAAAAGAGAATACAACAAAATAATGACTAGACGAAAGATGAGCATAAGGAACACATATAATATTGCCAAAAAAAATTCAAGAAAATGTGGGTGACTTGCCCTCCATGATAATTCAAACGAAACCCGCTGGCATTTTTGGCATTTAACTTTGCGAAACCAATTTCCTGTCTCCGGCTTAGCAATTCATCATATGATTGTACAGTATGACTTCACAAAGGTGGATTAGGAAGGAAAGGACTATAAACTATTCAATTGAGTCTGAACAATTTTTTAGTTTTTTTGGTTATTCCAAACAACCTTAAAACAAAATAAGGCCCTCGGAAGAACATTTCTTGAAGTCATTTTATTGGCTTATTATGCTTTTGTTAGTAAAGTACCATTGCACGTTTTTTAATGTATACATGTTTTATTGCAGAATTTCACGAATTGAAGGCGGTAAACCGAATCGAACGAGAAAAGCAAAACAAGCCAAATCGGAACACAGTATGAAAATGGTGTTGTCGCAGCGGCAGCGCGAGGAGCTGTAAGTCACATAAATACAAAATTATTTGTAACAAAATCTTAACCCTATATTTCGTTCAATAGTAACCAAGCGATTGCCGACTACCTGGGCTCAAATGGCTATGCCGACTCATTGGAGACCTTCCGAAAGGAGGCCGATCTCAGCTCAGAAGCGGAAAAGAAGTTTGGCGGCCTGCTTGAGAAGAAGTGGACGTCCGTCATCCGTCTGCAGAAAAAAGTAATGGAACTAGAGGCTAAGCTGACCGAAGCTGAGAAGGAGGTCATCGAGGGTGCGCCCACAAAGAACAAACGTACACCCGGCGAGTGGATACCACGGCCGCCAGAGAAATTCTCACTAACCGGTCATCGGGCCAGCATTACGAGGGTAATTACGATTAAACTTCTAACTAAAAATCCTTAAATACTGAGTAATATTATTTTAAATTAAATTGTTTATTGTTTGCTTTATAATTGCAGGTAATATTTCATCCCATTTTTGGTCTAATGGTTTCCGCATCTGAAGATGCTACCATTAGGATTTGGGACTTCGAAACTGGCGAGTATGAACGTAGTTTGAAGGGACACACAGACTCGGTGCAGGATGTGGCATTCGATGCCCAGGGCAAGCTTTTGGGTAAGTCGCCGTTATGAACTAAAAACTGTTTCCTTAGTCACTAAATTTATGGTTCTTACAGCTTCCTGCAGCGCGGACTTGTCCATCAAATTGTGGGATTTCCAGCAAAGCTACGAGTGTGTCAAAACCATGCATGGTCACGATCACAATGTCTCGTCGGTGGCCTTTGTGCCCGCCGGAGATTATGTACTCTCTGCATCGCGAGACCGCACTATTAAAATGTGGGAGGTGGCCACAGGGTAAGCTGAACTCGAGCGCGATATAAGAAAAGGGCATTTAACCAACCTGTTGATTTGTTTCTTTAGTTACTGCGTTAAAACCTACACAGGCCACAGAGAGTGGGTGCGAATGGTGCGAGTGCACATCGAAGGCAGCATTTTTGCCACATGCTCAAATGATCAGACAATACGGGTTTGGTTGACGAATTCAAAAGACTGCAAGGTGCGTAGTGCAACGATTAGCTTCTGCTGGCGATGTACTATTGTGATGATTTTGTTATCCTTCAGGTTGAATTACGCGATCATGAGCATACCGTGGAGTGCATTGCCTGGGCGCCGGAAGCCGCAGCCTCGGCGATAAACGAGGCAGCCGGAGCGGACAACAAGAAGGGTCACCACCAGGGCCCGTTCCTGGCCTCCGGCTCTCGCGACAAAACCATTCGCATTTGGGACGTGAGCGTCGGTCTGTGCCTGCTCACGCTGAGTGGCCATGACAACTGGGTGCGTGGCCTGGCATTCCATCCGGGAGGCAAGTACCTGGTTTCGGCCAGCGACGACAAGACCATCAGGGTCTGGGACTTGCGCAACAAGCGATGCATGAAGACGCTATACGCGCATCAGCATTTCTGCACCTCCATAGGTGGGTCCTTAGAAAGCATTATATATTGTATTTACTAAAGCTTATTGGCATTTCTTTGCAGATTTTCACAAAGCGCATCCGTATGTTATTAGCGGTAGCGTAGATCAAACAGTTAAAGTCTGGGAATGTCGTTAAAATAAAGGAAAACTCAGCAAGGGTTCTGCTTACTTCTCAATTTAAACATAAATAAAGCTAATATATTAAATCACATACCCACACCACGCCCACACATACGAACAGTCTCAGCCACCTCCGCGGAAGTTTATTTTCCAGGCGCTTTCTGTGTCAGCGTCCGTAAGCAAAATGAACATATTTGTATTTTAAAACTGAATGAAACTGGCGAAAACGAATTATTTATTTAAATGTACGACCTTCTAATTAAACTAACTACCTACTATTTACAAAGTACATATACATTAATGCCTAAAAAATATACCTACCTGCAATTATCGTTTAAAGTCAAAACCCCATCTTTGTACCCCAGCACAAGCTCGCTAAGCATATAATAGGCATCAAAGATGAGTTTGCCGCTGAATTTGATTAGAATGGAAAGTGTTTATGATGGTAAAGCGCAACTCATTCGTCGGCCAGCTGTTTTAGTGGCACAGAAATGTTTTTCCATCCACAAATTGTACCCGAGCACCCGCACTCACTTGAAAAATTCAATGACGACGTGTTAAAGTGTTTGCAAACTACGCATAATAATAGCTAAATTCGCTGAAGAATACTTAAGCGAAAGAAAGTATTTCAACACTTAGAAAACTTGTACTCACAAAGAGAAGTTTGTTATTGAAAATTACTTGACATGCTTTTTACCATAATTGAGGTAGATTTTACGATAACAACTTGCTTCTTTTTACCGTATGCACCATTCGCAAGTCCTGTTTTGTGTTCTTTTTCGCGAAAAGATCTTCAACAAAAACAAAAACCTTTCAAAATGCTTACAAGTTTAAGTTGGCTTTAAGTTCAAAATATAATTTACGTTTACGGTTTACATAGTAGAAAAATGCTGCAAATTTATTTGTAATTGATTATTTAAGAGCAACGGCAAAAATATACCTATATATAAATATAATATAAATAATTATTTGTGGAAAAACAAATCATCTTATAAGTGTATGCAAAAAAGCAGATGAAACGCAATTAGAAGAAAGGATTTTTGGATTCAATGAAATCAAATTAATATAAACAATAAAAAACTAGCTTCTTCAAGAAACCAAAAAAAAAAAGTTTATGCCCAGAATTTGAGCATTGGTTTTTTGTCAAGGGTATAATCAATTACTTGACTTTGTATTGCCTTGGATGTCAAATTTTGAAAGCATTTATTGTACTCGATAATGCAACATTTGATGCACCTATTAATATAAGATAACAAAATGCGCACTAAAGCCATCAAAACTCAATGCATAATTTGCAAATCGCTTTTGTCTCAACCAAACTGCTTTAGATTGATGGCCTCAGATGAAAAACCCCCAGATACAAGCGATGTATAGAAATCGCTTAATATATATTACAAAAGTACTATAAATAAAACTGCAATTTGTTTTATTAATAATTAATAAGTGCATTATAAGGGTTTTGGTTTATCAGGTTCTTGGTCTACATTTGCATGACCTATAGTCTCCACTTCTGATGACTTAATTAAAGATTCTTCGCTTCTGGCTTTAGATTTTAGCTCTGAAGCTTCTTCCTTATTCTCATCGGTAGTATCCTTAGAGGCAACATCTGGCTCTTCATCAGGGTTAATCTCTTGATTTTCTCCTGTGTCCTTTAGAGTTTCCTCGTCCTCCGAATCGCTGTTACTGGACTCTGAAGCTTCCTTAGCCTCTGGCTTCTTTTGTTCCCTCGGCTTTTTGGCCCGCTGTTTTTTCTTTAGTCGTTTAGCCCTTTTCTTGGCGGTCTTTTCCTCGGCAGCCCGGCGATTGTCGTCCAACTTTTGCTGGTAGGCCTCATCTGCCGCCTCTCGGGAACTCTGATTCTGGATGTTTTTCTGGCGAGCGTATTCTTTACGGCGCAGATGGCGGTACACATGAAACTCGCCGGATCCCGCTCCTGCACTACTTCCCATTACATTTCGAACGAATGTGGGCACCGAGGACAAGTAATCCCGTTCGCGGCGCTGCTCTGGTATGATCACCGGCTTATCCTGAATCAATAAAATGCGTTCATAAAGAAGTAAGCCGAGAATGCCCATCAAAACATACCGGATTCTTCATAAGTTTCTCGAGCTTCAGCCGTTGGAGATCTGTGGCTGTTTTAACAAATGGTCGAAGAGTTTTTTCCTTATCATCAGAATCGCTATCTCCGGATCCTGCATTCTTCTTCTTTTTTTTCGTCGGTTTGTTTTCAGTCTCTTTAACGAGGTTTTTAATAAGCGACATATTTGTTTTTCTAAATAATTTGATTTTTGAGTGGCAGTTTTCTGCAAGTTTAAAAATACCCACAGGTACGCACTCCCAGGGCTGGGCACACAGCAGTGCGATATTTGTCTAATTTAATAAAATTCATAAATTTAAGCAAGCTCTTTGCTCAGCCATGAAATTAAATTATGTGAATTAGTTTATAAAAATTAAAAAAATAATATGCAAATAATAAAATAGGTCGTTTTTTACTCAACTGACCATAACCATCTCTAGCTTTCATATCATATCTTAGTAAAAATACTGTGAAAAATACTGTATCAAAGCTGGCTGCTCTATTCATGCGGCTTTCTAAAACTTTCAGCCGGTGGCCACACTCTCAGCCGTCAACAACATAACGCGTTTTTTCTAGCGGATCGGCCGAACTATATTCTTGATAAGTAATGTGCTGAAAAGAACAGAACTACCAAAGACCCACTTGTCATAGATGCATACGAGATCGAGATCGTTAGCCAAACAAAAATCACGTTCGCAAACGACCAGAAAAACACTTGAAATTGAACCGAAATCCCGAACTCGGCAAGCGGTTAGAGTTGTGTAACACGGACGGACGGGCCACGAGAAGAAGAAACGTGAACTAGAACTTTGAGTCTCTCCGCTGGTTGTGTCAAATCGAGTTGCAGGTGAAAAAGAAGTTGATATCATGGCGCTCGAAACGGAACCGAAGAATTCAAATGCAACGTCCGCGGGTGATGCTACAACAACGACGAAGACCAGCGGCAAGGCCAAGGAGAACAACAACACAGCCGGCAGCAAAAAGAATCAGAATCCGAATCAGCAGAATCAGAACTTGGTCAATGGCAATGGCACGGCTGCCGACGGTTTGGCTGCGAAGAAGAAAGGTGCGTTCAACTATCTACCCACACCCATGTACACGCCCCCTAAACCACCCAGAACAACCCGTTCGCTGCCTTGGAAACTGCCTCAATATTTCATTTGCCGCAAAAGCCAATCACATAACAATTTTAACATTACGTAATGGCCTTTTTCCCCCTATAATGCTTTAAAAGCGGCGCCCGTTGTCTATGGCTGCCCCGTTACGCCCTCCTCCTCCCCCCTGTGAAAACCGCGTGCGTTACAATTGCAATTGTAAGTGTGTGTTGGAGTTTCGTGCGTGTGAGAGCTGCAAGTGTTTTGCCTCTCTTCCCTCTTTCTCTTGGCATGGCAACGCACATGTTATTAACCCGGCGACGAAGGCGAAATGTTCATTAACCCCCCGGGCAGATTTCTTGTTGCGTTTAACCTACAATTAACACGTGCGCGTCCCGAAATGCATTCATTTAACACACGCAAATTGCTAGACAATTATGTAAATCATGTTTTCTATCCGCCAGACGCAGTGTTTCAGTTTTAGAAGAGACTATCTTTCTCGCGCTCTCTAGCGGTTAATGTACATTGTACTTATCACTTTTGCTTTCTCTCGCTCTCCCAATCGTGCTCTCTCCCTCTCTTAGTATCTCCGTATCTCACAGTGCTGTAATTTAGTATATAACTGCTGAAATTAGCATGAACGTGCTATAAGCCGATTTTCCTCGCTAGATCGAAAGGAGATTGGATTATTCGTTGGGTGTCCGGACTCCGAACGAAGTATCGAACCCGGCCCCTTTGGCCTTATCAGTACGTTTGTCTTTTTCTGTTTGTTTTTCTGTTGTTTTGTTGTATAAGTATGTTTTGGGCATACCGGCGAGCAGAGATACAGTAAGCGGCGGAAGTATGCGAACATGCGGTAGCATTGTTATGTAAAAACCGAAACTTGTCAAAAAAAAATGAAGTAAAAGAGATACTTTTAAATTTCTATGAACTTGTATATACAAATATGTGAAATGCATTTTTATTTTGCTTTACTTGGCTTTTAAAAACACACTGAAATCTCTTATTAAAACTAATTGTTAACTTAAAAAGATTCTGGATAAAACCTTAATGATATTCATAAAAATTTTAAGTGCATCAAATCTTTTTTTTTTTGTAAGCCCCCTCAGCATGCTCCTTACAGTGTTCTATGAAGATTCTTGTAAGAATCATTTGAATAAATGCCGGTCCAAAGTTCATGTTCCCCAGTCACCGACATCGTTACACAACGCTCCAGATGTCTATCCTAACATTGACTAACAATTACCTTTTTTTGCCCAATTCACAGGCAAGAAGAACCGCAACAAAAGCCCGCCCGAACCCACTGCCGAACATGTGGGGGCCGCTCTGAGCAACGGACATGCCGAGAAGCCAACTGCCGAGGAAGCGGGTAAGGCTGAAGTCGATCCCAATGCGAATTTGGAGAAACCGGAGGGCGGAGCGGCGCCACAGGCTGAGGCGGAGGGAGAGGACATCGATCTAGACGCCCTCCATGACGTCGGCATCACGGTGAATATCAGCAGTCCCGGCGCAGATCTGCTCTGCGTGCAGCTATCGAGCATGGAGCTGGTGCAGGAAATCCACCAGCTGCTCATGGACCGCGAGGAGACCTGCCACCGCACCTGTTTCTCTCTGCAGCTAGACAACGTGACGCTGGACAATTTCGCTGAGCTGAAGACAATCGAAAACCTGGAGCAGGGATCTACTATTAAAGTGGTGGAGGAGCCGTACACCATGAGGGAGGCCCGTATCCACGTGCGTCATGTTCGCGACCTTCTCAAACACCTTGATCCTGCGGACGCCTACAACGGTATTGACTGCACCTCACTGACCTACTTAAACACGATCACCCAGGGCGATTTGTTGGACAAAAAGAAGACGCGACCGGATTCGGTAGATTGCACCCCACCAGAGTATGTGACTCCGGGAGTGAACGAGCCGCCACTTCTACCACTGCATCCAAATGTAAAGAACGCAAAGGGACCGCAGGCTCTCAAGGTACTCACCACATCCGCCTGGAACCCGCCGCCCGGCCCTCGCAAGCTGCACGGCGACCTCATGTATCTGTACGTCGTCACCATGGAGGAGAAGCGCTTCCACATCTCGGCCTGCTCCAAAGGGTTCTACATCAACCAGTCAACGGACGACACCTTCAACCCCAAGCCCGACAATCCCAGCCACCTCAGCCACTCGCTGATCGATCTGCTCTCCCACATATCGCCATCGTTCCGACGTGCCTTCCAGACTATCCAGAAGCGGCGCACCATGCGCCATGCCTTCGAGCGGGTCGCCACGCCCTACCAGGTGTACCAGTGGGCATCGCCCACTCTTGAGCACACCGTAGACGCCATTCGCGCTGAGGATGCTTTCAGCTCCAAGTTGGGGTAAGTTATCACTATGCCGCTTTTAAAGTTAAACTATATGCACTAATCTAGTGTGATTTTTGGTTAAAAAAATTAATTGAGCAAAATATAGGAATACTAAGGGCTTATGCGTCTCCATTTTATTAAATATTGTACTTCACTTTTGTCTGTTTGACCCGAAGCTATGAGGAGCACATCCCTGGACAGACGCGCGACTGGAACGAAGAGCTGCAGACGACGCGGGAACTGCCACGTAAAACACTGCCAGAGCGCTTGCTGCGCGAGCGCGCCATATTCAAGGTGCACGGAGACTTCGTGACCGCCGCCACGAGAGGCGCCATGGCCGTTATTGACGGCAACGTGCTGGCCATCAATCCCGGCGAGGATTCCAAAATGCAGATGTTCATCTGGAACAACATATTCTTCTCGCTGGGTTTCGATGTAAGGGACCACTACAAGGAGTTGGGCGGCGACGCAGCTGCATTTGTTGCCCCGCGATATGATCTTCATGGTGTGCGGGTCTACAATGCCGTAGATGTGGAAGGATTGTACACACTGGGAACCGTGGTAATTGATTACCGCGGATATCGCGTGACCGCTCAGTCTATCATCCCAGGAATTCTCGAACGGGAGCAGGAGCAGAGCGTGGTCTATGGGTCCATCGATTTTGGCAAGACGGTGCTGAGTCATCCCAAGTACTTGGAACTTCTTCGACAGGCAGGAAAACATCTGAAGATCCTGCCGCATGCGGTGCTGAATGAGCGGGATGAGCCCGTGGAGCTGTGCTCCTCGGTAGAGTGCAAGGGCATCATCGGCAACGATGGCCGGCACTACATCCTCGACCTTTTGCGCACCTTCCCGCCAGACGTCAACTTCCTGAAGCTGCAGGACGTGCAAATAAGCAAGGAACTGGTCGATATGGGTTTCCCCATCGAGCATCGCCACAAGCTGTGCTGCCTGCGACAGGAACTGCTCGAGGCGTTCATCGAGGACCGCTATGTGAGCTTCATCCGGATTGCCGCCGTGCACCTGCAGCAGCTCAATGCCAAAAAGCAGACTGAAAAGGCTGAGGAGAAGCCAGTTCCCGCTTTGGAGGGCGCAGAGGCGGAAGCTAAGACAAACGGTGCAGAGGAATCTGAAAGCAAAGAGGAGAAGATGGAAGAGAAGGAGGAGAAGTCGCAGCCCTCTACCGGCGACACAAAGACCGCCGAGGCCATGGTGAACGCCATCCGGGAGGCGCAGTCCAACGTTGCCACTTCCAACGAGGTGCAAGCCGCCGAGGTAGTTAAACGAGCCTGCGCCGCCGTCGGATCGCTGAAGGAAAAAGAGTTCGACTTCCGCTTCAACCCCGACGTGTTCTCGCCCGGCATTCGGCACGTCGACGGCGAGGAGGGCACCTGCAGCTCGCTGGCCAAGCAGAAGGTTCTCGTACAGGAAGCCGCCGAATTTCTGGTCCTTAAGCAGATACCCGCCTTTATCAAGGAGCACCTGGCCCACTCCTCGCCGCCAATCGATGGCCAGAGCCTGACCGAATCCCTACACAGTCACGGCATAAACGTGCGCTACCTGGGCAAGGTTATCAAGATGCTGGGCCAGATGCCGCGTATGGACTACCTGTACAGGATCGCTATCCTCGAACTGATCGTGCGGGCCACCAAACACATCTACTACACCTACATGCAGAACACAGAGCCTCTGCACCTGTCCGCCGCCATCAGCCACTTCCTCAACTGTTTGCTGACCAACGGACCAGTCAATCCGGCTGTGAGCAGTGAGGAGGCGCACAAAAAACGCACCAATGGCGGCAAGCACAACAAGCACAAGTCATCCAAGGGCGGCAAGGGTCAGCAGCAGCAACAGGCGGTTGGCAACCAGAACGGCAGCTCATCGGGCTCCTCGAATGCCTCATCCACCTCCGACTGGGCTCTGGTTACCCCTCGCTCGCTGTGGCAGCAAATTCGGCGCGAGGCCAAGGCCTATTGGGACTGGGACCTTGACTGCGACTCGATTGAAAGTGCGGTGAGCAAGTACGGTATTCTGAGGATCAGCCTGCTGCGTGCCTTCTGCCTCAAGGTGGGCATCCAGGTGCTATTGCGCGAGTACAACTTCGAGTCCAAGCACAAGCCCACTTTCGGCGACGATGACATCGTCAACGTATTCCCGGTAGTCAAGCACATTAGCCCCCCGGGCAACCGATGCCTACAATTTCTACACCACGGGGCAGGCCAAGATCCAGCAGGGCATGTTCAAGGAGGGCTACGAGCTGATCAGCGAGGCCCTCAACTTGCTGAACAACGTTTTCGGGGCGATGCACCAGGAGAACGGATCTTGTCTGCGGATGCTGGCCAGGCTCAGCTATTTGCTGGGAGATGCCCAGGATGCTCTGGCCATCCAGCAGCGGGCAGTAATCATGAGCGAGCGGGTGAACGGCATTGACCACCCCTCAACCATTTTGGAATATGTATGTTCTTTGCTTAAACTTAAAAAATTACAATTAATATCTTTGTCCTTTCCCTAGACACACTTATCGCTCTATTCGTTTGCCAACGGACATGTGGGAATGTCCCTTAAGCTGCTGTACAGAGCACGCTATCTGATGGTGCTCATCTGCGGTGAAGATCATCCTGAGGTGGCTCTCATCGATGTAAGTTGAGACATTCATTTGGTTAGCAGTAGAGTTTAATCTAAATTCTTTTTATTTTCAGAGCAACATAAGTTTGATTTTGCATGCTCTGGGTGAGTACGAGCTGTCGCTGCGTTTTATCGAGCACGCCCTGAAGCTGAACCTCAAGTACTTTGGCAACAAGGCCATGCATGTAGCGGTCAGCTATCACCTGATGGCCCGCACTCAGTCCTGCATGGGTGACTTCCGCTCGGCTTTAAACAACGAAAAGGAAACTTACTCCATTTACAAGTCTCAGGTGGGTGAATTCCGATCTCAGTTTCCAAAATTTCGGCTAACTTTTATAGCTCAATAGCTTGGGGAGAAACATGAAAAGACCAGGGATTCGGCGGAGTGCCTGCGCCTTCTGACTCAGCAGGCTGTGCTGCTGCAGCGCAAGATGAACGACATCTATTCCAGTGGCAAACTGACCAGCGACCTGCCGCCCATCCACATCACACCGCCCTCGATGGGCTCCGTGCTGGATATGCTGAACACTATCAATGGCATTCTGTTCGTGCAGATTAGGTGAGGCTAGCAATGCCGTGTTTTAAAAGGTTTTGTTTACAAATTACTTGTTCCCAAACAGCCAAAAAGACATTGTCAAGGTGCGCAGCGAAATTGAGAAGCATTTCAAGGCCAATAGCGCCGAGAGCGAGGTAAACGATGCCATCAAATCCATTGTGGCTGCTGCCAACAACAATGGAGAGGCGGAGGAAGGGGCCTCGAAGGACATTAATGATCAGGCGGTAACAGGATCGCAGCTAACAAACGGAGAAAGTGCCACCACCACTGAGGCAACTTCAAGTTGAACACTCCAGAGGCAAAAGTAAACATTTGAAATCCCAAGAAGTCACAAAATTTGCCGCCTGTTTGTTGCACTGTGTCGCATCGTTAACTGTATTTTGGGACTGAGCAAAATTTAAAAACAGCAATGACCTATCAACTGCAACGTCATCAACAACTACCAACTCCGTAATAAAACATAATTGTCTATGTTTTTCTTAAAGGCTGCTCTTGTACTGCTCACACACATCGCATCGCGTCGTATTTAGGAATACGCATATAAGGACCTATGCCTCTTTGTGGTATAGGCAAATAAAATACTTTTAGGCTTAGTCAAGCAAACTATCAGCTACACTATCAAGCATCCTAATCTAACGGACCGATATCATCACCCCGAAACCAGCTATAAAAAAAAGTTGACTTGTTTTAAACCACAAAAAGTCGTCTAGCTCATACAGATATATGTTTTGTTAACCATTTGCAAGCCCATCAAATGCCTTTTATAGTTTATAATCGATTGCACGTAATTTTATGAATTGTTTTCTGTTGAATTAACTTAACGAGTGCAACTAAATATTTTACAATAACGTTAAGATACACCCGATTGGAAAAGAAATCAGAGGAATTATTGAATGATTACGTTTTTGTTATACAACTATCATATAGATATATATCAGAAAATATATATTATTCATATGTAATGCATACACTTTTGGGTCCTTGGTGTGTCAAGGTCCGCAAGAACATTTATTCATACGAACAAAATGGTTTTTTATTATTAAAAAGGTCGTAAAGCGATCAAATAAAAATGAAGCTGCCAAGTTGATTTCGTATTTGAAAGAGCCGCCGTTTAAAAACCAACTAAAAGTCTTGGGATGGCGTTAAGACTAATCTTATTCGAACTTATAGTTAAATAATAGTTCTTGGTGGGGAAATCGTAGTAAAACAATACTGGAATGAATAGTTTTAGAAATGCAAACTGTATTCTTAAAACATGTACAACTCTTCTACTTCCGTTTTCTGCACTTGTTGCGTCCCTTTCGCCTTCGGCCCGGAGTTTTGCTGGGCGACTTGCCATTTTTAGCGGCTGCGGCCTGCTGTTGCTGGCTCTTGGGCGTGGTCGCACCGGCCCCTGCGGTGCTGCCTCCCGCATTGGTGGAGCTGCTTTGCTTGTTGATCCGATTGGCAGAGCCCTGGCCACTTATCTTCTTCGACGGCAGCAGATGCTGGCTCACAAGCTCGCCCAGGACACCCTGGTGCGCCAGCATGGAGAGGAAGGTGCAGATAAACTTGTCGTAGTTGTGAGTGCGCCGACTGGCGTCCACCTTAAACATTTGTCGCCGGTCGTTTTCGTCGGCAAGGTGTTGCTCATTGATGGCAATCTCAGTGTCGAGGTTTTTGAGCAGCGATTGCAAATCCCTTGCTGTGAAGGCGCTCGGCTCCAGTAAGGTGGTGGGAGTGTCCGGGCGTTGTGAATCTCCATTTCCCGATTCACCCTGCTCGTCCGCCTTTAGCAGTTTCTGTAGTGTCCCGGACACGATTGCCTGATTTGTGCGCAGCATCTTTAGCTTGTGCGTTATTGCAATCCGCCTGTCCGGCACAACGGCCATTAAATTGAAGCGTATATCCTGTTCGCCGGTGGCAATGCCAAGACGTTCCGCCATTACACGGCGGAACTTGTCCGTCCAATCCTCGCTATCCTCCCAACCCCCGTGATTCATAGGATATGGTTTCAAACCGTCCAGTTCAAACAGCTGACCGTTGATGGGCACAAAGCTAACGAAGTGGAACGCCTCTCCAGTAAAACGACAGCTTGCGACCCCAGCTCCAGTGCGCTCCAGGCGGCGTCGAGCTTGCGGCATTGCGTGCGAATTATGGGCACAGGCCAGTTCCGGAGTGTTGCCTATGGCCAGTCCTTTGTTTTCGGGACTCATGCCTTTTGTGTGGGCTTTTAGTCGGCTGAGAGTATCCCCCAGTTGCAGGTTATTCTCGTTGCAGTTTAGAAGCACAGAGAGCAGGGCGTGAGTGGCGCAGCTATTCGGCACCACCTGCTGGGCGAAAAAAATGCTTGAAATGGCCTCCTCATCCTTAACGAAGATCTCTGCAGTGGTCTCCACGATTTTGCGCCTGGCACGCCGTTCTTCGATCCAGCGAAAAAGAAAAATAAATCCATAGGGGCTCTCAATGGGTTTTTGCAGGTCATACACCTCCTCCACCTGGACGTCGTGACCTAATAATAAAGAGTTTTAATAGGAAACGAGGAATAAGGCGTCTTCATCATTATTTACATCCAAAATCTTCCAGAAGCCGAGTAAAAAGTCCAGGATCGGACTCTAGTTCCAGCCAACCGTCGGCCAGTTGGGCCATCGGCATTGTGGTGGCTCCGGAAGCCATGGCAAGGAGTGAATTGTTACTGAGACTGCTATTGGCAGCCGTAGCTGCTGCCACCTGAGGTCCATTGCCTCCACCGGCGGCGTTCATTACAAATAACTATATATTTTATTATTTGTGGTTGAAATGATTTAAAAGTCCTGGCAATAACAATGGCCCTCTAGTCACTTCATTAACTGAAATTTTAACATCCGATATTATTTATTCACACCCAACCAAAATTATTAAAATAATTACCTGTTAAACTCGTAAAAATCACTTCAGCCTTAAGCGTTCCATAATATTGTGTGCGGAGAAGTTCAAACCCGAGGTCCCCGATGTAATTAGACTATTCCTGGCAGTTTATATGCCAGCGTTGGCCTTCATGTAGTGAAATGCACCGGCAGCTGACTATCGTTTAACCGTAGTTCATTTTAAATAGAAACAAATATCAGCTTCCACAAAAATAGTTTTTCTCTGCTTCTTTTTTCAGCTTTGTCATTCACAGGAAACGCAGCCATTTCGATAGCGATAACCCCCTATGCCAGATGAATGATCTGGCAGCCCTCCCAGGAGTTTATAGTCAGCTGTTATTGACGTAACTTTTACTCTTTTCTTGGATTTTGGTTGAAACTAAATTGTTATTGAAATGGTTCGCCCAACGGTCGTCAGTCTGGCAAAGCGAGTGCCCCTTATCCACTTCCGCAAGGGCGGAGTAGGTGCACCAGGCGCGCAGACCGCAAACCAGCAGGCAAGTTCCCAGCCAGCAGGAGGCAAAAAGGTTAACCCAGCCCATTTATACTACGACATGTTACTGCTTTTTACTGACATAATAATCGATTTTGTAATGCTTGTTTACTTAGGCGGCCGGTGGACCTGCAATCGAGGATTACGAATTACCGGCGCGATTTGCCCGCAAGCCCATCGATGCCGAGGAGGCGGCGTACATTAACAATGGCGGAATACCGAACTGAGTTCCCCAAAAGTGTGCTGCTTGTAAAATAAACTAATGTCACAGCTGTTCTAGACTTTACCGAATACCACAAATGTTTAGCGTAAATTATTCAAGACCAAATTAAAATGTTTAAAATGAATTATTGGCGGCGCCAGAATGTGATTGTTTAAATAAACATATGAACCCCCCAGAGCTTTCAGTTCGCTGTGAATGTCAACTGGGGGGCTAGGCAAGAAGAAGTGAAGACCAGCCATACGGTAGTCACTGCTCATCTGAAGCGAAAGCCAATCGGTCGTGCTTTTCCCACACGCGCAGCTGCTTAATTTGGATCGTATCTTACTTGTTTGTTTGCGCTATAAGTCCCCCGCCCACCCGCGATCGACCGCTCCACCCCCCGACCGTTCGTCGCGAACAAAGAGTGGAAAATTTCCGTATCAGCTAAATAAGAAACGAACCCTTTGGCCGTTTTATCGGGTCCGTAACGCTACGGCCCTTCGAATAACCGGATCTCTTGGTTATCCCCCACTTGGATGGGTGTGAGGCGTAGTATGCCAGTGAACTGTGCCAACAAGGACTGCCTGGGTCTCCGCAAGCGTGTCTGTGGTCTGCACCAAACCTGGAAGTGGCTCCATCAGACGCCCGCCCTCCACGAATACCTGATCTCGGCCAGCTCGGTGGCTGCAAACACATCCAGAGCCAGCCAGACCACCAGGGTCTAAAGTCCAGAGCGACCAAAGCCATCCGAAACCAAAACGAATACATAGCGTAGATAGTAGGCCCATACATAACCTAAAGAAGAGCACACACACAGAACAGAACCGGGCGGAGAACCGTAGAAACCAACCAGCCAAGCAACCAATCAACCCGTCAAGAGCTTTTTTCGACACCATTGACCTTGTTTCGCTAGCAAGTGCATTGCTTCTCTCAGTTCACCTGGCAACAGAAATTCCGCCGTACACCCGACTTCCTTGTGGACCACAATGAGCAGGCTGCTGCGTCGTAATTCCAGTCAGCTGCGGCTGCTCCTCTCCTCTGGCGGACAGGTGACGCGCCTGGCCTCTAGCGAAGGGGTACCACCGCCTGCCGGCCAACAGCAGCAGGAGATCAGGAAGCCTAAGCGTCAACCGCCGCCCGTGGTGCCTGATTCGGAGATCAAGAAATCCGTGTTTATTTCGCAGTCAAGCGATGTGTTTACCAATCTGGCCCTCGAGGACTGGCTGTACAAGAACTTTGACTTCAGCCACCACCATGTCCTGCTGCTGTGGGCCAACGATCCGTGTGTGGTCATTGGGCGCCACCAGAACCCGTTCACTGAGGCCAATGTCTCGCGGCTAGTGGAGCGCGGCATAACTTTGGCCCGGAGGAACAGTGGAGGCGGTGCGGTGTACCATGATCTCGGGAACCTAAACTGCACCTTCTTCTCGCCACGAGAGCGATACGATCGCAAGTACAACCTAAACATCGTGACAAGGGCCTTGTTTCGCGAGTGGGCCATCAAAGCGGAGATCAACGAGCGCGACGACATTGTTGTCTCGAATAAAAAGGTGAGGAGCAGAAGCGGTAGCTCTTATCAGGGAATGGCTCGACCCCGCGCTGACCCCACATAAGCGTCAGCCCACTTTGCCAACAGCTGGTTCGCTGTGCATCTGGTCTTTGTTGTGAGCCCGCTCAAACGATTTCGCCCTTGTTCAATTACAGATTTCCGGAACAGCTGCTAAGCTGGGACACCCGAACTCGTACCACCACTGCACCATTCTGGCCAGCGCCAACAAGCTGCATTTGGGGGAATCACTGGTGCGAGAGCCGGCCAAGTATATCAGCAAGGCCACGGCTTCAGTGCCGTCGCCCATTCGCAACCTGGTGGATGTCAATCGCAACGTGAACGTGTCACAATTGCGCTCCGCTGTAGGCTACGAATATCTGAGGACGGCAGCAACCACTTTGGAAGACGGCGGTAGAACACAGACGATGAAGCAGCGTGGCTTCCAGCTGATCAACCCAACGGAGAAGTGGTTCCCCGGCATCGAGAAGCTGCGCTCCAACTACAGCTCTTGGGATTGGGTAATTGGCAAGACCCCGAAGTTCACCGTGCAAAAGGATTTGGATGTAAAGGGCGATGACCAGGACATGAAGCTGAAACTAAGCGTGGAAGTGGAGGCCGTAAGTGTTTCAGTATTCTATTGTAACATTCTGTAATCAAAGTGCAATTCATAGGGATTGATGAAGGAGATTGGCATCCAGCTGCCGGAGAGCGAGCAGCTCGTTCCAGTGGTCACTCCGCTCCAGGGCAAGCCCTACAACGAGGAAAACCTTAATGGCATACTGGGCGCCCTGAAACTCGTCAAGGCGTCGAATGTGAAGCAGGCGATTAACGGCTCGGCCTGATTGCTGTTGTGTTAGCTCAAAAAAAAATTTAAAAAAAAAGAAAACTAATAACCTCTATGTAGTTTTACTAACCTTCTAACATAGATGTATATTTTCCAAGAAATCATATTACTAACCTACTTTTTAAGCGTTTTACAAGCAAACTATTTACTTTTGTTAATCTGTTTTTTATAAAAAGATCTGCAATTAAATGTTTAAAGAGCGAAATTTTAAACAAACTGCCGATTCAAATGTATTTCTTTATTATTATTTTTTTGAAGAGAAATTAAATATGAAAGCAAATATCAGTGCATATAAAAATAGTTACTTTTATTTCGTATAACCAATATAACAAAATGGATTTGTAAACATGAATACAAAATTAATATAATAAACTTTTAAGGCACTTGTTCGCATTCTTTTGACACAAATTGGTTGTACATCTGTATATAAAATATAATACAAACTAAAAACATGAATAGGGACTTCGAGAAGGCGACAAAACAATAGCGATCCAAGAATCGGAACAGAAGACAATTTAAAAATAGATATAGAAAATTGCACTCTGATTGGAAAGAGGATTACTGGCTTAGATGTGAACCGTTTGCACTAACTCAGGAAGATTCTGGTAGTCGGGCTCCCGGGCGAAGAACTCCGTGAGGTAGGCGAAGGTTGGCCGGTCCTTGGGTCGCTCCTTCCAGCAGCTCTGCATCACGGCGTAAATATAGGCTGGACAGATCTTGGGCTGGGGCAAACGTTCGCCGCTGTCCACCAACTTGATGGCATCCACATTAGATATTTCGCCATAGGGCGGTGCGCCCAGGGAGAACATTTCCCAGATGGTAACGCCAAACGACCAAACGTCGCTGGCGTGCGAAAAGATGCCCAGGTTAAAGCTTTCCGGTGCGTACCAGCGGATGGGCCATCGGCCGCCTTGGGTAAACTGGTATTCCGTGCTGCCGGGTCTCAGGGATCGCGACATGCCAAAGTCACTGATTTTAGCCTGGTGACGTGCGGTTAGCAAAATATTCCTGGCTGCCAAATCACGATGCACGAAATGCTGAGATTCCAGATAGTGCATGCCTAGTAAAGATTTTGTAAAATGGTGTTAGCAAAATGGTAAAATAAATTTGTTTTGGAATACCTACCACAAGCAATCTGCGTCGCCCAGACCTTCAGCTCCGAATTGGCCTTGATCTCGGCCCCGTGATCCAGAATGTACTGCAGCATTGAGCCCAGCGGAGCCAGCTCCTGCACCATCATAAGCATCTCACCTTTGGAAATGCCAATAAGACGCACAATGCACTTGTGCTCCAGTCGCATCATGACAGAGGCCTCGCGCAGGAACTCCTGCTTGTTGCTGTGCTCGTCGCTGAGCATCTTAATCGCCACCTCCACGCGGGATTCGTCACCAGCAGCGCTCTTCTTTACCAGCCAGCCACTGTGCACTGAGCCGAACTCCCCGTGTCCGATCTCTCTGTCCAGCATTAAATTTTCTGGGTCAATGAAAAACCTCAGCTTGGCTGCCTCCAAGACAGAGGAGTTGGGTGTGTTCGGTGTTCCACTGCACTTGCGGTGCAGGTAACTGGCCATCTCACTCTCTGTGGAAACGGTGGACACCACCGAGTTGAGACGCGCTGTGGCTGGAGCTTTGATTTGCTGATCCAACAGCTGGAGCACATCCTCGGTTGGCTGGTATCCATTGGCACTCCACTGGCTAGCTCGCTCTCGCTCAATGGCCACATCGCTCTTCGTGAAGTACTCTACTTCGGCCTCAGTCTTTTGGGCAATGGGTGGCATGTCAATCTCAATGGGTGTGTTGTTCCTGGGCACGTTGTATAGCTCGCCGCCTGCAGCGGCCACAGCTCCGCCGTCTGCATTGAAGAACTCTGTGGAGAAGGAAAGGCTCTTCAGCATGGGAGCCGCTGCCTGCAGTTCCTGTTCCGTCCTGGCCTGCGATCCACTCACGCTGCTCTCGGACTCGCTGCGCTTGCTCTTGGACTTGCTCTTGCGCAGGCTGTTCATGTCAAACAATGCTTTCTTCGGACTCGTCAGACGCAGTGTGTTGAACATAGAGCTGTCCTTCTGTTTTTTCTTTGCGATTGGCAGGGCGGGCACGTGAGCGTGGTGGTGGTGGACTGAGTGGGGGTTTGGGGACACCGGAGTGGGCGGAGTAGCTGGTGAAGTAGACTTCGGCTTCACCGAGGATCGAGGTATTGTGGCGAACGAGGGCACCTCCGGTTTGGGTTGCGGCGGTACGGCGAACTTGAGGCTCACTGGCAGCCCATACGAAAAGCGCATGAAGTGGGCAATCAAATGTTCCACGCTGGGCCAGTAGGGACCGTCATCAATGTACAGAAACTTGGACTGCAAGCAAAGTTCTCTTAGTAATGCTGTTTGTGATATACTTTATAAGTTACTCACCCCGCCGGACTGCAACTTGACGCCGTTCTGGTAGAGATCAGCTTGCGAAATACGAAAATTCTTGACCACCTGGTCGCTCAGCAACGTCAGAACTAATCCAGAGGCCGCCGGTGACTCGGAATAGCGAACAAGAAAACAGCCAGAAGTGTCGATCTGCGGTTGCTTTGCCAGCAGCATCTTGGCGTGCTTTTTGAGTATGGCCACGGCCTCGTCGCGGGTCAGCGTGCCATGATACCACTGATCTCTGCTGGTGCTTGCCGGCGGGAGCTTATAGTTGAGCAAAAATTCCTCCACTGCCGCTTGACCCGCTTCCTTCGCCAAATCGAAGGGGAACTCACCCGCGCTGGTTCGCGGGAGCAGCGGTGCCTCGGCCAATAGCAGTTCCTGCACAGCCTCCAGATTGCCGTACTTGGCGGCCTCGTGCAGCGGCACATGTCCGTTCTCTATGTTCCTGCCCTGGACATTTGCCTGCGCAGCGATGAGTATGCGTATAAAACTGGCTGGTTTAGAGCGAGCGGCATACTGCAAATGCATAAGGTTGGATTAGAAAAGAAATACTTTTTAAATAAAGGGATACACTCACGTGCAAAGGCTGGTAGCCATATGAGTCGGAGCTGTTGACTTGCACCTTGGCATTTAACAAGTTCTTGAGAATATCCTCGTCCGCATTGAGAGCCGCTAGGTGCAGGGCCGTCTGTCCATCCTGGTTCTTGGCATCAAAGTTTCGGTAGCCGCATTTGAGCAGCTCGAAGACCACCTTGCCCTCATTTTTGCTAGTAGCACGGTGCAGAAGATTGCTCACTCCGTGGCTGCGTGTATTGTGCGGTGGCGCATCCCGGATAAGAGGCACCGTAAGCTTGGTAGGCAAGCCATTGGCCGCCTGCTGGTAGTAGTCCACCAGGGTGTCCAATCCGTGCAGGATCTTTGTCTGTACCTTATCGTCAATTGAGAAGAAGGCGTCCTCGCCGCCATGTCGCCGCACCTGATAGTGGCACACCTCTTCCTGGCAGAGAAGGCTCAGCACAAAGTCCCCGGCCGCCGAGCTGCTCTCACGCACCAAAAAAGTCCCGTCCTCGTAACCTGTTGATTACGATTTCAATTACCTCTCATTAAGCTTCACCACCACGCCCACATCTTTCTGGGCTCTGGGAAAACTTCGGGTCCTTCCTTTAATTTACCTTGCTTGAGAAGTTCGTCGGCTTCCTCACGGGATAGGTTGCCGTGAAACCACCTTATGGGATCGGAATCGCGACTCATTTTTTGCCCATTTGCTCGCTTTTTGTTATTAACTTCTCAAAATATAAAGACGTCTATCGATCCATGTATCCAGCAAGTTGGCAACATCGATGATCTTCTGCGAATATCGATTGTTTTCACTATCGTCAAATACGCGTTGCCAATTGGAACTTGATGCGCGGCCGTTCAAAACAAAAATACTCTTATACCCTTGGAAACGGTATTATAATTTAAGTCAACGAGATAATTTATAACATTTAGATTTAAGGTAACAGGCCAACAGAATGCATTAATAGGCGTTTTTTGGCTATGTACATTTTCCATAAAAAAGAGTGGCATACTTTTGGGGACTTGGAAAATTAAAAAAAAAACTAGCCACCCACTATTGCACTCTGTTCGCCTGGTACTTCAAAATGGGGTTTGGTTAAACATGTCGGGTTTGCCGACCGTTTTCAACGAGAAATTTTGTGTCACTTAGATTTAAAATAACAGGTCAACAGAACTTGGAACTTCAAATTACTGAAGTAAATCTTGTGAGAACCAGCCAAAAAAACACACTTTAATTAATTGTTTCGCTTGTGTTTTATATTTCAATGTTCTTGTTTTTCTGTTTTAATTTCTTTATTTAGGTTCTACTAAAACAAAGTATTAAATTATGGGCGATTATTTAAGATTAATTTTGTTGGTTTCTCTTTCAATTCTTTTGCGGGTTATGTGAGAATAGTCTTAAGCATTTAAAAAAACGACGGCACGCTAGGATACGGCATTAAAATTAATACAAATTGTAGGTTATGAAATATTTATAAACATTTAATGTCATTATATATGTCGCATGTAGTTTAATTCCTATTCTTTACAATGTACAGAAAAGTTAACGCAAAGCCATTCAACTCATTTCAATTTAGTTTATTTTTCATGTTGCTAAAATAGTTGCTGTTTAGTTTTCGATTTCCTAGTAAGTATTGTGGCAACTTAAGTGACTAAAGATACATACACGAAAAATACATAATTTAACCCCCAAAGATATACACCCAAACGCACTCGCTCCGAGCAGCTCTAACAGATCTGGCCCGCCCTAGAACTTATTGGCTAAATTGCTTAGGCGCTTAGCATATTCAGTTGTGTTTTTCAGTTAATCCTGCTGCCGCTGGTGTTGGCTTTATTTCACCGAAGCAATAACGATGAGAGGCTTCGATCAAAACTACTTTCAAACAGAAAATTTTAACAATTCGCTATGACCGGGAATTTTGATCATTTCTGTCTGTCCTTTGTTCCTTGATGTGGATGATCCTGATGCTTCTGCTGTTGGTGAGCTTTCTGCTTGGTCCATCGCTTGCTGCTGCTCCTCCATTTACGCTGCTGTTCACTCCATTAAAAATAACTAGATTCTAATGTAGAACAAATTGGTTAAACGTATCATATATCGAAGCATTTAAGAAATCCGAGTTCTTGATTTGTTAATTTTCTGCTTTACATTTATGACTTTTTTCTTTGTTGATTTTTGTTGCTGTTATTGGTTGTTGCGGCTAACGCCAGTGCTGATGCTGATATTGATATAGATATATATTTATATGTGTGGATTTTATTAATTAGCTATTGAAGAGAGCTTTTGGGAAACTCCGTTCACAGTCTTTGATTTAAGGACATCATTTTCATATGAAAAGACAGTTTCCTTGCCGTTTTCGACGACTCTGCAAGAGGCAAAAATAGTTAATGTTTAACAAAGACCTTCAATTCATGATTTAAGAAGTTTTGCCTACCGCTTGGTCATCAATTTCTTGCCATTGACGAACACCGTCGAAGTGGAGGTGCGTTTGACACCGACGCTGGGGCCACTGGAGATGTGAGTGACGCCACTGCTGCCGTTGCCGCTGGTCATCGAGGAGAACGAGGTGAAGCCGCTGGTGGGCATGAAGAAGTCCATCATCGAGTAGTTGAGCATGGGTGCCCCGAACGGGCTGGCCAATTTGTGCTGGTGATGGTGATGATGGCGCGAAGATCCAGTGCTGCCGCCATGGCGTCGACTGCTGCTCGACCCGCTCGTGCTGCCATTCGAATATCCGTTGGCATCTGGAAATCCGGTAACAATAGTTAATATTGTGCTAGAGTATTTATAGGCAAACCGCTTACCTCTGAAGAAGTCGGCGAAGGGCGAGTTAACTCCAAAGAACTCGCGGAATACCTCCTCGGGCGGCCGGAAGACAAACGGAGAGCCGCCCATAATATCAAAGTCATCGAAATCGTGTGTATTATAGTGGTGGCGGGCATGCGAGCGACTCTGTCCGCGGTCACCCAGACCATCCTTGCCGTACTCGTCGTAGATGCGACGCTTCTTTTCTGTGAAAAGTTAATCGAAGGGCAGGATAAGTAAAGGAAACCAAGAATATTTAAAATAATTAGTAGTCAACTCTCGAGCTGCTGGGCGTTAGCTTAAATCTGACATAAAAACAGTGATGGGATTTATTTTAGTTAATCTCCAAATAGGTAAGTCATCAAAAAACAAATTTAGGGTCTTACGTAACTCTGATGTGTAAAACAAAATAAAATAATTACTTGTGTAATACATTAATTGGAATATTTTATGGCAAGCTTTCTTGTTTCAAAGGTAAATCTTAAAGTTTTAAATTCATTTTGGATAATGTGTAATTGAATGGCAAAAGCTAAAAACGGAACCAAGGCTACTAAAATGCATCCCATCACTGCAAGGGACAGCGTTTAGTTGCAGAAAGTATAGAACAGAAACAGAACGACGTGCGCGAGGATGTCAGTCAGCAAAAACCAAAATAACCAAACAATTGCAACGCTTTTGCCTCTGGCTTTACCGAACAGCTTGTGGAAGGGCGTTCCCTCAAAAATGTTGCGGAAGGTGAAGGCCTGATAGCGGTTACCGGACCGCCTGCCGGATCCGGACCCGTAGCCCGAGCCCGGATAGTAGTCGTAGTCGTAGTCCCGGCCATAGGCCGAGGATCCACCGCTTCCAGTGCGATAGCGGGAATAGGAGCTGCTGTTGCTGCTGCTTCCGGTGGTCGAGGATTTGTGCAGCGTGGCACGGGCATCGTAGATCTTGCGCTTACGTGCTAAACACACACAATAGAGACTTATCATTGGTCCCGCCATGGAACACCATTCCCAGATTGCCCACATCGTAACCACCCTTTTTTATTTGATTTGGGATCAAAGTAAAGGTTACTTCTGTTCTCTGCCAGGAACTTACCGTCGGATAGGACTTCGTAGGCCTCAGACAGCTCGCGGAAGCGTTTGTTGGCCTCCTCCAGGTTGTCGGGGTTCTTGTCTGGGTGCCATTTCAAAGCTAACTTTCGATATCTGTTGGTGGAAAATATAGTAGAATACACATTTTTGAAAGGTTTTGGCTAATGGATTATAGCTAATTCATTTAAATACTACTTACGCCTTTTTCACTTCGCTGTCGGTAGCTGAGCGCGCCACATCCAAAACTTTATAATAGTCCACCATTTTACAGATGTGTATTCCACTTTTTAGTGGCGGTTTCTGCGCTTATTTTTACAGTTGCTTGGCCAGCAAATATTGCAATCCAATGCGTTTGTTTTTTTGGTCGGATCCTCTTCTGGCTTCTGGAAAAGATAAACAATCAGATAGGCGTGTTAGTTGAGGGCTCAATAAGTGGGGATATGTGTGAGCATATATGTACACATATACCGTTGGAGCAGTCAGCACTCGGCAGAACTAAATTTCGGGTTGTTTTTGATCTTTTTGCAGTAAAAGCAAAGGCGAAATAAAAAACATAAACAAATAGAGGCACACTCACTCACACGAATGGGAGTAAAGCAAAGTCAAAGACAGCTTAGTTTGTATGGCCCGCCGACACTTTTCAATTTTTTCGAGTTCAATGTCGTTCGAAAACCCCATTATGCCATCGCCCACACACGCGAACTATGAACAAGAGAGACCAAAGAAGTACAGGGGAAAAAATAAGGTCATAGATCAGCAAACATAAAAATTTTCTATATCTCAGAAAATCAAAAGATCAGAGATCAGAATAATTATAGGATCAAAGATCGGAAAGGGTACCGAAGATAAAAAAATTAATTATTTTGTTAAATTATAACCAGAATCGGAAAACATATTATAAAAAATTAAATAAATTAGATGAAAATAATAAACTAGGGTTCGAAAACCATGCATTATTTTAAGAAGTCTCAAAGTGATTAGTGATTTTACATGCTAGCTTTGTTTTCTGTGTAGACTGAATGAGAGTTGTAATACATGGCGCATGTGTAGGGCGCTCAGTTAGCCGTCCATCAACTTTTGGGGCAAAGTTGCTCAAGCGTTTTCCGTCCCCCTCGCTCGTCTTAAAACCCAGATCTCCCGTATCCCCCATTCATTTTCGTGCAAAATAGTCGCTAATTTTATTTAATTTGTATTGTTGTTGGCGCTGGTTGTCATGCAGCCCCCTTGACACAATTTGGCTTGATTTCATGCGCGAGTGTTTTTTATCAGACATTACAGCGGGGCAATTGTCTGTTTGTTGGCTTTTGCGGAGGAAAGTGCTTGACTTGACTTAAATTAGCCCTCGGGCCAAGTGACATGACAATTTGCATTTACACACTCGGCGGCAATCTCAAACTGAACTGAACTTCAAGACTTGTTGTTCGACTGACCAACATCGATGGGCTATGTTTATGTTGCTGTCTGGTGTGGGTTGTATCTTGAGATTCAGTTCTTATAGTCGGATCACTCGATATGTTCGTGTGTATACTTTTTTTTTCAAATTTTTGTGATCTAATTTATGACTTTCGATGGGGTGCGTGTGCGTAGCGTCACATAAATTTGTCTATTAACACAACTACAAAACCAAATGGATTAGAGATATATACTATGTATATGGTTTCAGATATATAATCGTCTTAAATAAAGCGATGGCCACAGATATACAATGCATTTTAAAAACTATACAGTTTTTGTATTTTATTATCCAAATAATTACATTTGCAATAAAATATTATACTTTAGAAACTATAACTATGAATGCAGTTATGTCCTAATACTAACTTCAATTTGGTTGAAGAAATATACATATGTATATTGATAGATAAAACCTGATAAATGTGTGCATTTTAAGTGCATCCTTTTAGGACTCGATAAAATAAGAACTCTAGATCAGGTTCCACCGAGATTTGAACTCGGATCGCTGGATTCAGAGTCCAGAGTGCTAACCATTACACCATGGAACCCTCGAATTGTCCCTGAGCCATTTTTCCTTTTCTGACCCGGAAAAACGCAGCGCGCATGCCTCAGACGGGAGAGACTTTGGCCTCTAGTTTATACCGTTTAAAGAGGCCCTGAACTTAGGGGACAGAAATTCTCATGCAATTTCGAATTGCAGTACCTTACACTTTCACACTTTCAATTTCACTTGATAAATTTTCTTTCAACATACGTAACATTTTACCAATTTAGTAGAATAAGTCTTTAACATGTTGCAATATGTTTAAGTGCTTAGGAGATTAAAAATACAAATCGAAAATGAATTTTGCAAAAAAAAAAAGAAAAGATAACATAAATAAATTTTAATGAATTCCCCTTTTATTTATACAAGCATATAGAGATAGCTTGAGTGTATATTATATATATAAAAAGAACTAGAGATATAGTCGGGTGAGCTTGTGTCTGTGCGTAGTTTATTCGCTTTATGGCTGCCTATAGAGTATATACCTGTTGACATATTCGGCAAATTCTAGGTCGTAGGTGTAGGAACTTGTAGCATTGTCTAAAAGCAGCAAATGACGACGACGTCGCCGCTGACGCTTTTTCTTTCTGGCCAGCCATCCGCATGACACACACGTCAGCGGAGGAGACACAGTCGGCGGGGGATAAGGAGGAGCAAACAGGTGGATGCGGGTGGGGGAAATACCTGCTTCTTTTGACTTGGATTTCACTGACAACTGCCACCGGCTGACTCAAGTCAAACAGAATCGGTTAAGATCGAAACACTGACTATCTGCGAGACCATAATCTCGTGGCAGTCACTCAGCACCTTGCCATCTTTCTGTGGGCGTCTGCGGCATTTAAGGCATTTGCCGGTTCAGTTAGATAGCTTGGGGCCTGAATATTGCCATACTCAAACTATTATAAATGCCCTACAAGAAGCAAACAGTGATTTTTTCGACTTAAAAGCCGAAAAACTAATTGTAATGTTACTTTATTGAACCTCTTTTGCTTTATCCGCAAACAGTAAAAATAAGCTATAATGTATAAAATAGATTAAACAAAGAAGACTTGCAAATGTTAATGAGGAAATTAAAGCAACACAAACAAATAATACATCATTTGGAACTGGTTTTTATAAATCAAAGCCATTTCATCAGTGAAATGATTCACAGAGTGAGAAATTCCGTTACAGATTGTTCTTTACAGAACGTAGTCATAAGTGTAAGGTCACGAAACTGATAAAAAATCAAATCACTGCTTAAATATTGCAGAATATGGAGTCATTTCATATTTTATTTTGTATAGTGAATCATTGTATTTTCCGATTATAAAAAAATAGCAAATATTAGCTAGCCATGAGCTCGTTTAATTTTATCTTCTAAATTATTTTCAAGACAAAGAAGGCAAACTTTTCAAGTGTATAAGTTTGTCATTGTAAAAAAATGTTTAGTTTTCACTGCCCTTAAATAATAAATAAATATATATCCGTTTACTGTAAGAATTTAATAGACCTTAAATTTAATGTAGCAAACTAAAAGCAAAAACATAAAAAAAACTTTAACTCCTAATAGTTTTTTGCAGAAAGTGGATGTGCTGGCACGGTTGAAGTGTTTTCATTTATTTATTTACCCGTATCGGAATCAAGCGGCTTTAATCACAAACTCGAGGGACTCAACACATTCGACAAGTGTGTTTGGCAAAGACAGCAACCAAAACAACATACGGAGCTGCCTACATGGCACAGCTTTAATAAACCTGAAGTCACTCCAAAAATTATGTATGCGTTCAGTCTGCGGTCTGCAAAAGCCAATGTTTGTTGTTGTTATCTCTGTGGTGGCTTGCTGTTGTAGTTATTGTTGTATATGCAAATTACATCACCATCGATATGGCGGCATTTGCACTGAGATTTTCGATTTTCCTCACACTTTTCAATTTGTTGTCGCTTCGATTAAACTTGAATTGTGTCACCGCATCGATGATAAGCAAACAACAAGGCGGAGAAACAGCGATAAAGTTAGATAAAGGTGTGGAGACGAGGAGGAGACAGCAACAACAGTTGGTTGCGTGTTGTCTTCCTCTCTTTTCATTTTTACATGGGAGATGGTTTTGGTGCTAATTTAGCCGTAACCTACATACACAGATATACTTCTTGCTGCAATCACACACAATCAAACACAAAGCACACACACATACGCACAATCAAACGTGCGATAAGAAAACGCTGCGCATTTATATTTATATTGAGCTTGATGGAAAGTCACGCAATGAGCATTGCACTCGCACTTTTCATATTTACATTGGTCGCTTTTTAACCAGCAATGAAGGCCAATCTGGTTTTTAACTTAATGCTACGTTTGTACACAAAGTCGAAGCTGCACATTATAAAACAAAAACACGGAAAACGCAGCGAGGTAAAAAATGTTAAATTAACAAAAACTTTTTTGCAGCCGTACGCGGCAACGAATCGTTGAGAATTGAATGCAAAGCAAGAAAATACACGGAGATCGAAAGAGAGAAACCAGCTGACGGCATTGCCATGCTTTAATTTCTGGTCGTGGGGGAGAGAAAATGAGAGAGAGTGTGCGTTTTTGCAAGTGTTCTCGCTCTCCTCTTTCCCCATTGTGTTGTTATTGTTTTTTACCTCACCGGAAGTTGTTATGCCGATTCTTGCAAATAACGTTATCTCAACGCTATCATTTATCTTTCGGGCATTTTTGTTATCACCGTTGGCCGTAAATTAAAGGCTGATCAGTTGGTTTTATTGTTCAACCGGTTAAGTCCCCTTTCCCAACATGATTCATCTTCCAGTTTTCGCTGAATTCGTTTCTTCTTCTCCTCGGTTTTTCCAATTTTTATTAGAAATCTGAATTGTTAATTTAAATAGAGATGAGTTTTACGGCCAAAGTTTATAATGTAATGTAATAAATGGCGGCAGAGCGGAGCCGAGTTTAAAGACGACAAATTTAAATATTTAATTTTAGAACTCTCGCAGCGAGTCGTTGACGCCGACAGTGGTTGTAATTTGATTTAAACGGGTATTAAAGGGATCGGAGCTACCATAACACACTTTTTAAAACTATACGAAAAAAACTGTTTTAAATAAATGCGCATAAGAGGCATTAGGATATAAAGTTCGAGTAGCTATATTAAGTACTGTTTCATTTTTGATCATAGACATGGGTAATACAATTTGAAAAGACTGCTCACTTCAATTTTCTTTTTAATAGCATCGAATCCACAGTGCCAACCAAAACAGCAGGTGGTGGGATGAGAACTGAGGAGGAGGTAGGCGAAATGTTGTGCGAAAAATTTTGAAAAGTTTATAAATTGAAATTTTTATTATAGCACCACACAAACACAAAGGTTTTTGGATGTGTGGGAATTTATTTTTAGTTGGGCGGCA